ACAATGGCAATTTTACCAGCAGATGGCATGTTATTTTACTATGTCACTGAAGATCCCTTTGAATGTTTCCACTCAGAAGGGTAATAGAAAATAAAACACTGCAAATTTTATTTTCATGCTTTTGAAGTACTATAACATTATTAAATTTCATTTCTTCGATAGGCTTTGAATTTATGCTTAAGTTATTTTAAGGCACTTGGGTGAATTGGACTATTAAAGCAACACACAATAAAAGAGCAAGCATTCTAGCAAATTGCAATAAACAAAGGGCAAAATTTCTAGTCCTAGATCAGAGTTTCCTGTAATTGTGCAGCACATGGTCCCTACAAAAGCTCTTTATGTTTTAGGGCTCCATTATCATGTACTTAGCTCAGGCTATCTAAAATGTTGGCTACTGATTATGGGCTCTTATAGCTCTTTGAAAGTTTATTAACATAATAAGCTCATTGCTAGCTAAATGTATGTAATTATGTACTTGAAAATAACTGTCATTTAGATTCTACAGCAAAAGTGCCATGTAGCTTGTATACCTAAAAATTCTTAGATAAGCTACTCAAAAACTATCCCATTTTTCAGTTATTCTCAGAGGCTGGTGTAGGCTGGGAGTTAACAACTACAGATATTGCAAACATATTATTTACGATAAAAGTGTTTAACTGAAGACATTATTATAATCTGTATATACTGCATAATGTAGACATTAAGGAGCAGGATCGATTTACGCAGCTTCTAATGGGTGAGCGTGGCACGAATTTGGGTGAGTGTAAGAAAGTAGGCAAGAATTGGCTAGTTAGCTCAGTATTTGAAATCTAACTTATCTTCCCATCTCTTTAGTCAGACTTTATGCCTTGATATTTTTCCCTAGATGCTTTAATTAAAAAACCAATTGGGAGGCTGGTATGTTGAAAAATGGAGTAGTGGATTCTGATACTGTTTTTACTTCCAAGAATGCCTTCAAGTACCATATGCCTGAGCAGTTTTCAGAACACCAAATGGTGGATGACTGTACCCCACTGTATCTTTCCAGAGGAAAAATCAAAAGGCCAGGGTTAGCATCCTGAGAGGTTAGAGAGGGATGGGGAACGAGGAAAGGTGCTTTGGCTGTGTTGTGTTGTTTGGGTCTCAGTGTGCCTTCTAGGAAAGTGGGGTTTCATGGCTGGTCACCTACCTCCCAGTGGCAGCCATTTTGTGAGAGTACCCATGACACTATCAGAACATTCCAAATGGTCCACCAACCCTAAACAATTGGGCTCTTGCTGGAAGCCCTCTATTACTTTTTTCAGCATTTTATTTTTGAGTCCTTCTTTCTTCAGCTTCATGCCTCTTCCCCCAGGTCCCTGCTTTCTAACTTGCTATTTATTTATTAATTAAAACATTTCTATGCCGCCCCATTCGCCGAAGCCTCGGGGCGGCTCACAACATAAATTAAAATACAAGAAATAACAATATAAAATAATATAAAATATAAAATGCTACATACTCCATCCCACATTTTCACTACATGGACTCTACCCTCCCTCCAAACTGTTCAGGTTTCATCCTCTCTGCATTCCTAGCACTAGTCCTGGGCCACCCTTCTTGCCAACAGGACGGACACACTTCAAAAATACTGCAGCTGCCTTCCTCTAGCTGGCCCAAAGAGACAAATCTGGTACAACGGATAACAGCTAAGATTTAAAAAGTGTTCCATTTAAGAGATTATTTTATTAAAAGGTCATACTTTAACGATTCAGCCACTCCCTTCTCTGTCTTTTTATTTATCTAAAGTTTGTATACGTTGTCCAATATCACAGTCTCTGGGCAGCATACAAAGGAAAAAACAAACAGAAAACAACAACACACCAACAAACCACAGACTGCATCTGACCATTAATAATAAAATCAAAGATAAAACAAATTGAATATTAAAATGTTGGGAAAATAAAAAGGGTTTCGCCTGATGCTGAAAAGAATAAAGTGATGCTGCCAATTGAACCTCCCTGGGGAACATGTTCCAAAGTCAGAGTGCCGCTACTGACTTTGTCCTTCTCTGGGCAGCTACCCTCCTAATTTCCTTCAAGGAGGGCTCCCAGAGAAGGACCTCCACCGCAGATCTCAAGGGGTGGGCAGGCACACTGGGAAGAAGGTGCTCCTTCAGGTAATTGCTTGGGGCAAAAAGGCAATGGGCTAGTCAAAGAAAAATGCATTCTATAGCATTTCAAATGTCTCCAATACTGAGTAGTTGAGACTGCAAGTAAGGCAGTGACTCAAGAGTGCCCAGGCACGGGGCTGCCCCCACCTCTCCATGTATATGGCATCAAAATTCTGAGACTTCAAGAAATTTCAAGTAAGATGGCTTTTTCATTTTGTATATGACTACAGACATAACGTGTGTTGTTTATTGCTGGTTTGGCTTCTTCAATGTATTTGTTATTCAGCTCCGAACAGAAGTTCTTTGTAGCTGGAAAGCTTGTAAACTCTTTCCCCAACAGAATAAGGTCAAACTTGAATTAAAAACAAAGCAAAGGGGAAAAAAAGGCCTTTTAACTTCAAGTTGCAACAGATGTGACGAGATCTCCTGTTTTGTTGCTTTACAACTCTCTCTCTCTCTCTCATACTCAGACACAGATAAACCAAACTTCCAAGTAGTTTTGATTTGATGGGAAGGATAACATTTTAACATGTGGGGAAATAGGATCGTGTGCCTGAAGTATTATATTATTTTGTTCCTTAGTTCTGTTTCTTTAGTGGGATGGGCAGATACACTGCCTGAATCTGTGATGTGTGTTGATAGGCTTTGAGAGGGGTGACAGTTGTAGAAATATGCATGCTAAAGTTGCATATGGTGTTAAGTGGCAATCCTGCTCTTGCACTTGCTTGGTTTCAGTTCACTGCTGTTTTATTCCAATAATATGGTCTAAAAGAATCTGCATATCTTATATTGTGAATGTATCATCCATGAATTTTCATGCCTTCTTCTGATCCTAAACCATAGTTCTCTGATACATTCTGCATACAGATTGGACCATTTGGAAGATAAGATATACCTTTGTCTGACACCTTTGCCTTTGGGATACCACTCTGTTTCTCCAAATTCAGTCCTAACAGTAGCTTCTTGTTCACAATACATCAGGATAATGAAATGCTAGAGTACACACATTTCTTTCAGGACCATCTATAGCTTCTCATGGCCTGCACAGTCAAAGGCTTTGCTACAGTCTATAAAACATAGACTGGTGAAAATCTTTAGTGCACTCCTGCAGCCAAAATACATTTGCAACTCTATCTCAAGTCATCTCTCTTCCTTTTCAGAAACCAGCTTGCACGTCTGCAATTTTGTGCTCCATACAGGATAAAATTCGTGGTTGCAACACCTTCAGCATCACTTTACTTGCATGCAAAATCACTGCCATGGTCTTGTAATTGCTGCACTCCTTCCTGGAGACCGCTTCTTCATTTCCTGCCATATTCTTGTAAAAAATTGGGCCAATTCAGACTCTGCAGGTTGGAGCAGTTCTACTGGACTGTATCGACTTTATTCAATTCCATGGTTTATTTGATTTCTATATTGAGCGATGTCCATGTGTACAGGACTGCAGCTGAATGTTAAGAAACAAAAATCATGACTACAGGAGAATTAATCATGAAGAAAATTGAAATCATGAAAGATTTTGCATGCTTTGGTTTAATGATGAACTCAAATGGAGACGGCAGCAAAGAATTAGAAGACTAAGACTTGGAAGGACTGAAATGAAAGAACTAGAAAAGATCATCAAGCGTAAGGAGATTTCACTGGAGACCAAAGTGAAGATCATCCACACAATTGCATTCCTGATGGACATGAAAGTTGGGGAATGAAAAGCTTCCTGGAAGAAAATGGATGTTGCAAAATGAGGTGCTGGAGGAGAGCTTTGTGAATGCCCTGGACTGACAACTGGGTCCCAGATCAGATCAAGTCAGAACTTTTGCTGGAAGCAAAAATGACAAAACTGAGGCCGTCATATTTCAGGCTCATCACGAGAAGGTCAGACTCACTGGAGAAGACGGCAATGGTATGGAAAGTCAAAGCCAGAAACAGAGGAAGACCAAATAAGAGACGGATCAGTTTTATAAAGGAAGGCACAACCTTGACTTTACAAAAGCTGAATGCGGCTGTGAATGACATAGCATTATGTGGGGTCAACACACCACCTTCGAGGCAACTTGATGGCATGTAACTACAGATACCAACTCTGCACCTCTCTGCAGACTCAGACTAAGTCCCACTGAACTCAGTGAAGCTCCACAAGTAGAAACACTCAGGATCAGAAGCACAACTTACAGCTACTGATTCGGCAATACATGTTTTGGAGTTGCGTATTTTCCCTCCTTATTTTTTTGGCTATCTCACTAGTTCTATGCACTGAATTATAAGTACCCAATGATGCCTTAGCTATCAGTTCCTTTGCATTCCTGTTTTGGATACAGAAATTGCTGTGAGCCTCTTTAGATCTCTGAACTGCCCGGATTTCAATTTTAAATTTAAATTAGATGTGCGTGCGAAAGACAAATATATTTTTTCTTGAACCACGAAGGTGCGCCTGTTGCACTCCGGAGATCATTAAAATGCCTTCCAACGCATGCATACCATGCTTCCCTCTCCCCTGCTCCGTCAGGTGGGGAAGTTCTGCTCGATCCCATCCCCAAGCCGGGCTTTGCACCGTCCGGCTCACCTTTCCGCGCTCCGCGGAGCGCAATGGCGCTGCAGGGCGAGCGAGAGGCGCGCATGCAGCTCCCTCCGCGGGCCTCGAGCCGCCCCGGGGGCGCGGGCGCGGGCGCGCGCGGGGCCGCCTGTTGCCTCCGAGGCGCCGCAGACGCCCCCCGCCCCGCCCCCGCGCCGTTCCCCGCGCCTGCCCACCCTCCCTCCGCCCGGCTGGCGCGCTGGAGAAGCGCCACTGGCCCCGCCCCGCGCCTCCCCCCGACGGCGGGGGCTGTTCCTTGCATCGGGCTCTCCCTCCCGGGGTTGAGAGGCGGGGGCAGAGACTGTCCCGGCCGGCGCTGATATCAGGCGCCGATTGGCCGCTGTCTCCGCTGACGTCACGATCATGATGAGAATTAATGATCGGAGGCGCTGATTTCATTGTGTGACGCCGGGACCGACCCAGCCGAAACCGGCTGAATTTGGCGCCCTGGGCCCTCCCGGACCAGCCTCGCCCGCCCCGAAGAGCACGGTGAGTTCGGGGGCGGGGGCGGCGGGGGACGGGACGGGGAGCGGGCTGCGCGGGGACACTGCGGGAGGAACGGCGAGGAACGGGCGATGGGGGAAGGCTCGGCGGGCGGTCCCCTCGCTCGCTGCTGTGGGGGCTGGGACGGCGATGCCCCCTTGGCTGGAGACCTGCGGGGCGGGGCGGGGCGGGGCGGGAGGGGAGGGAGGGGGAAGCGAGGCTCGCTCGCGCTCGGAGCTCCCGGACCATAACTCCGAGCGCGCATGCGCTCCTGCCGCTTCGCTTCATCTGCGGCAGGAGACGCCAGTGTCATCGCAGTCGCGCGATGGTGGCGACGCGTGAGCGGCGCGTAAGTATGGTGGACCCGTTGCGCATGCGCGGAGGGCTCCCCCCCCTTCCCCGAACGCCCGTTCGGCGCACGGCGGCGTACGTTTGCAAAGGCTGGGCACGGGCGGATGGGGATAAATACAAACAAGCACCCCCCGAAAAGACCCCCGCGGCTGGTGGGCTGTGGCGCAGGCCCAGTGGGACGCATGCGCGGTGCTGCACCGGCTGCCCCAGCAAGGAGTTGCAGAAGTTGCGCGAAGGGAAAAGTTAGGGAGTTCGGCAGGGGTGAGGCGTGCCTGGTGCGCTGCTCCGTAGGCGAAGCGAAGAAAAGGAGGGCGTGTCTGCTGGATCTGCGAGACAGGCTAATTGGGCATGCCTCCCAAAAATAGCAGCTAATTGCATCGCTTAATTTATTTCATTTTGAATTTGATAGACTGCCGTGCATGCTGTTTGCATTTGAGAGCACTGTACAGTTAGGAGAATACCAAATAGCTATGCAATATTCCAAAGCAATTACGATGCAAAAGCAGAGGCAAGTGTCTGCTCATGATTTGTAATGAGGGGCATGCTATATCATTATTTGTGTACTGTTATTTATTTTCTATACCGCCCAATTGCTGAAGCTATATATTTTACTTGTAATGTATAAGCTTTCTAAGGATTGTGTTTTGAAAATTGCAGCATTTCTGTGCATGGAGTTAGGAGAATATGAATTAGCCCCTAAAACATGTGGAGTGAGCCCACTCCCAAAAGTACTGTATTTATCCTTCAGAAAAGCCAGTGGAGTTCTGATTGTGTGCTGGTCATAAGAAGCTTGATACAGTGCATACATATTCAGAAGTTACTGCCATTGATTTAAGCAGGGCTGGTATTCTAGACTTCTACCCACCCTGACTTAAAACTTTTAGGTCCAATGTTTTCGTATGTCCCAGATGGAACACTGAAAAAGCTGTGCTGGCTAGGATGATGCCCAGCATCATCTGGGTGGGGAGACACATCCCACACTGCTGGTGTCAAGTTTACAAGAAATTGTCTTAACACTAATAAAAATTAAAGATGTAATTGCATGACTGTCAAGTGACCAATAGTCTGTCTTGATAGGCGAGCAATAGTCAGAATAAACAAACAACTGAGTCTCTGTAGGACTATTCTGAATATTCTGCATTGCCTAAAAGGAAGAAGCATAACTGTGTGATGGGACTTTCTGGGCAAGGTGTTTTAGAGGCTTCCTAGAACTTGGTGTCTCCCGTCCTGGCTGTTAACTGGCACCATGGGTCATAACTCGTGTTGTGGATTGTGCTCAGAAAGGTTAGGAATCAGTGAAGATATTTCAACTTTCATTGTACAGAAAGAGCTTCCGAACTAACTCAGCTGAAGTTACTGTAGTGCAGTGACAAAGGGAATTAAAAAATCCCTCATTGGAATTGTTCTCTTACCTTGAATTCCTTAACGGTCAGTAGGCAAGCCACATTCTCTTGGCCTCAGGCTACCCATCTGCAATCGTGATGCTTGCCTTCCTGTACGGGTGGGCAGAAAACAACTAGGTATGCTAGTAGATTTCAGATTTGCAGTAATGTGCAGTAGATGAGCAAAGATGTCTTACTCCTAATTGTTTAGTAATAACATTGGCAAAATGATCCACGCACTCCAACCCCAAATTATACCATTGGAATGAAGAAAGGTTAAGTAAGCAGAGGTGGATTTTTCTGTGGAAGGAGTGTGAAAGCCGTTCAGTTCTGGTACTCAAAGTTTGTAGGATCAAAATTTGTTTTGTATATTTCTTTTGCACCAATTGAGGGCTCGAGTAAAAAACAAATGTCTATCCCAAAAGCTTGAATTTTGCCCATTCCTTTCTTAGAGAATTTTTAAAGGATTACAGCTAGATAATTCATGTGGTCCTCTGACCAGTTTGAGATACTATTCAAATCTTAAGTGTTATGACATTTATAAATGCTTTTTAAGGATAGCACCCCCCCCCACACACACACACACATTATATTGATCCAACCTGGAAATTTGTACAGCAAGGAAAACTGTGGTAGGTGTATTTACACCTGAATTGCAGCACAATGTAAAACTATCTGATGGATTTGTCTGATTCTTTGAAGAATTTTCAGGTCTGCACCCTATCTAAATAAAAAGGCCACTTGTTAATGGTAGGCAAATTCATGGTAGGATATTAAAGTTTGGTGGTGGTAAACAGACACTTCTCTAGTTTTTGCTATAAGATACCAGCTTCTTGAACTTAACTTGTTATCTGGACAACAATAAGATATCATCTTCCTTATTTGGTTTACCATAAATGAGCTGGTTTACAGGTTGACCTGTTGTAAATACTTTTTTGGCTGTGCTGGCATTTCTCCAGGCAAGCTGTGATCCTGAAGCATCCTAGGGACCGTGGAACATTTGAGAAAAAGAAGAGCCGGGCATGTGCAGTTCTCACTGGTTACTTTTTATATTCTTTCTGTGTCTGCTCTAAATCTTGCTACTGTTTCACAGGGTTGCTCATGAAGCTCCCACTTTCTTTTGTTTTTGCAACATGGAAACTACAAGCAATTAGACAATGTCCCTTTTAGATTAGAACTCTTAGAAGGACTTCTGTATGATTTATGACAAGATGCGTGGCCTTGGCATCATATCAAGCAACTGCCCAGGGAGCTGTTCATGCCAGCTCAAGTGTTTTATGTGATCAGGTGTTCATTAGGCTAAGTAACAGTGCTGGAGAAGAAATTCCAGAGGGGCAGCCTTATCAGTCTGATGTAACACACACAAGCATATGAGTTTTGTGGCACATAAAGGACTATCATATTTGTGTTGGCACTGAGTTTGTGCATTTGAACAAACTTTCAGATAGAATAAATGGTTAAGCTGACTTGGAACTGTATAATTAATTTAGATAATAATCATCAACCTCCCTGGAAGAAAATTGTGCACAGCAGTTTGAAAAGCTATAATTTGTACATCTTTGCACACATCAAAGCTGTAAGGCTATCCATTTACTGATATCCCTCTGCATAAGAATTTTGACCTCAAGAACAACTTAATATCCACTCCAATTAGTTGTAGCACAAATTACTTACTGGCTAAGAAAAAGCCAGCTAGCAATCATGTAATGTTTTTATCTGTAATATTTTTGCCATTGACTTTTCCTGCTTCTTTGTTTGTTGATTGTAAAAGAAATCTCTTTAATGAATGTCCACTTCATAGACAGTTATCGATTTTTCAGTAAGACCTGACATGTTTCTCTATTAAAAAGGTAAAGTCAAGAAGTACCTCTGAAATCAGAATGGTAATACTAATGGATTAATGGAGGTTTGTAACAAGGAATGTGCAATACCTAGTGATTTAGATTTTGCAATACAGGATGGTATTTTGCTCTACCTGTCGTTATTTGTTTTTCGGCGCCAGGCTAAGACCTTTTTATTCAAACAATATTTTAACAATGTTTAATATTTATAGGTTTTAATTGTGCAGCCAGGGTGTTTCCAGGTTTTAACTGTATTTGCATTATATTTATTTATTTATTTATTTATTTATTTGTGTGAGCTGTCCCAAGGCTATATAGCAAGGGGACGGCATACAAAAACTCTAAATAAATAAATACCTTTACTTCTTAGGAAATATATGCATTTCCTGGAGTAGCTCAGAAGTAACCACAGGTAGCAACTACAGTACTCAAAGGAAATTGTACTGTGGCCCTACAAATTTACTTCATACCAAATATGGTTTAGCTTGGGCTGCTGATCACTTTGCCTTTTCCAAGTCAACCCTTTTGGAACTGTGTCTAGCCTCATTTTGAAATGTGTGTTTCATTTGCTTGTGACTGTTATTTCTGTGGGTTTGGTTGTTCTTATCAAATTATTTTAAGCCAGTTATAATTCAAACAAGTACTTCCTGTTTAAATGGTCATGTTGTAACTTAATGCATCATTGTCTCAGGCTGCAACCTTATACCCAGTTACTTAACCTGCAAGTAAACTCCACTGAGCCTGTTAGGGAGGGACGCTATTTCAGGGGAAGAGCAGCTGCAGCACATGGATGAGCCAAGGGTCAGTCCCTGATATATTTAATTAAAAGGATCAAGTAGGTGATGGGAAAGCTCTACCTTGGACTCTAAAGAGGCACTCCTGGTCATAGTAGACAGTACTTAAATAGATGGAAAAATAATAGATGGCCAAGCTATACAGGTAGTCTCCAGGTTATGAAAGCGTTACATTCCTGAAAAAATTGAAAATTCATCTTTCAGTGGAATCTGGAAGTCGGATCATGTTTAGCCAACCCTTCACAGCTGTGGGGGTTGGAGCACAGGAGTACCTTGAGAGTAGAAAAGCTGTGAGTAACTCCTACCTACTCTGCCCAAACTCATCAGCGCCTCCCCTTTGCAGCAAGGAATCGCCAGAGAGATTTCCCTCTCCGGATAGTCAGGGCAGGAAGGCATGCTTCAGGGGCCCTCTCCCCTCTTTCACTTTCTTTCTCTCAGTTTATTCCTAAGTATGGTTTGTTTGTAATTTGGGGACTGCCTGTATTCCTAAGTTGAATAGGGTTGCATGTTAAAACATGTTAGTTTGACATTTATGTTAATTTCAGGATACATATTGGCACAGTTTGTGTGACTAAACAGTTTAAATATTTTATCTGTAAGTATGTGGGCGTTTAAAAAGTTATAAATGGACTGTTGTAAGTATTCTTTCATATAGAAAGTGTAACTTACTATAAATCAGTGCTTAGAAGTAGAGATGTATATGGAGTGGGTGTTCACATGCAAGGGATCCTCTCACATCCTAGGAGGAAAATTAACTTGCCTGCTGTTATAAATGTGTTTACAGTTTTGGTTTGACTTGTCTTATGATAACAATCTTCACAGTTATTCTGTACAATTAAAAAACAACAGCCTACTTAAAACATTTAGAAAATCACAATCATTTCTATAGATCATTGAAATAGTATTTCCATCTGACTATCTGTATAAAGACTCACTATATTTAACAAGATAAAATACTGAACCCCAGTTTGAGCATATTCCTCCATGTAGGGACCCCTCATATAGTTTAACCAGTGTTCTCTGAAGTGGGTAAAATCATTTAATTTTAACCTTAATATGGTCCATGGTTTTCATGGCTGTTCTTTTTACCTTTGCAGGGGGTTGTGGGGGGGTAACATCTTGTTCCATTTCTACATTACTAAAATTTGAGTTGAACTCACATTCAATTCTACTTGTGCATCAAGTTGTTATCCAACTTATATAGACTGCTTAGGGTTCCTTGCAGGAAAATTGTAGGCTATAAATAGAACTAAATAATAAAACCCAGTCTAATAAATATGGAAAGCACACAAATAGAAATTTAGAATTCTCTAGAGCAGGGTCTCCAACCTGTGGCCCTGAAGCTAGGCAGCCCCCCCGCCTGATATTAACTGTTGCTATCACTCTGCCTGCCTCAAGTGGCACCATCTCTTGCTGTTTTTCCTCTGCCTTTCTTACAAAAAAGACAATAGATAAAAAGGATTCCACAGTAAAATAGTGCTCCAGATTGGATTGCATTCAAGTTAACATTTATTCATTGACCTCTGAATGTTTACTTTTGATCTAAATATGTAAGTTAATAATGTTGTTACATTTTTATTTAAGATATGGCCACTTTAGGCATTGGGCACTCTCATGCAGCCCCCACATCCCAGAAGGTTGGATGCTCTAGATCCTTATTCAGGTAAGGATCTGTACCTGAATAGAGAAAACATGCAAGGACAGGGGATGCTTCATCTCACCTTTGCCTGTGTTGTTGCCTGTGTCACCTCCTGCTCATGGTGGGCAGCTGTCTGAGAAACCAATTGCACTCTTAGCTGAGATGGAGAATCTCCACAGATACAGGAGGGTTAGCCTTGTTCAGGTGGAGAGCGCTGAAACAGGGCTTCTGCTCATCAGGTTTATGTAGACTGATCCCAGAGGAACCGATCCCAGAAAATACCCTAGTTCTATCTGCAACCAAGACTTACATGTTACATTTCTGTGGGTCTCACCCCCAGATATGTGCTTCAGAAAATGCCTGTGGCCAAACACTTGCAGGTGCTGGTAAGTGTCAGTCACCCAGCTTAGGACTCACTGCCTTCTTGGGGATGCCCTGCCAGATTCCAGGTAAGCCAGTGTGAGTGGGTTGTACCCTTTCAGGAAAGACTTAGCAATTCCTGGGCTCTGAGAATAATATTTTTGGCTCCTTTTTGTGGAGAAGGGTGGGTGCTTACTGGTAGAGGGCTGCTTACTGGTGATGAGTGAAGTTAGAGTCAAAGGTAGGTGTTGCCACCCCTTTCCTCTTTCTCTCTCATGGTAACACCCTGATTTCTCTCCTTCCTTCCTTCCTTCCTTCCTTCCTTCCTTCCTTCCTTCCTTCCTTCCCAGTAAGTAGCCTTGCTAGTCTGAGCTGACCTTTTATAGCAAGCTTTTGAAATGAGGCTGAGGACCATGGGTTTTCTCTTCCTGGTGTATGTCGGGAAAGGGCTATAGTTCAGTGGTAGAGCAGACGCTTTGCATGCCAGAGGTCCCTGGTTCAATACCTGGTATCTTCTGGTAGGGCTGAGAATGGCCACCTGAAGCTCCGGAGAGTTACTGCTAGTCAGTGTAGACCGTACTGACGTGGATGAACTAAGGCAGACTCCTGCATTTCCAAATCCTTCCAATAAGGATGAGCAGTGATACTAAGCCAACTGTACCAGCCTTCCCCAACCTGGGTCTCTCTAGAAGGGTTGGACTGCAATACCCATCAGCCCCTGCCATCATGGCCAGTCATCATGCCAATTCAACTGTAGCTCTCCCATTAAAGTATGTCATGGAGATAACTTGCTGCAGTATATCTAACTCAGGATAGGATTGCTCCATTTTTCTTTCCCCTCCTTGCTGTCGCTTGTGTCCAAGATTGCAAACCGTATATTTTGTCCACGAGGAGGCTGTTGACAACCAAGTCCACTCAGTCTGCATAGTCTTACCCAGTCTCATTTTGTGGTCACTCTTGAGTGGGCTGAGAAGACACGAAGCCCATTTCTGAGTTCTGCAAATGTGATTCTATTTATTAGCCTCTTTTAGCTATTTTTAAAGCGTGCCCAAACCAAGCTGATGGCTGAATGTAAAACAGCTTTCCGTTTTTGCGAAATATGATTAAGAAAATTGATAGTAGGTGAACTAGAATGCAACAGAGCTCAGTTCCACTGTTGTTTTCTATTTGTTTGGATAAATGAGAGCTTGTTATAAAAGAAAAATCTGCAAATCTTAAATTATTCCAATTTTCAGAGTATCTTCTTTTATTTTTAGATGAATCTGCGTTCTGTATTTACTGCAGAACAACAAAGGATATTGCAGCGTTATTATGAAAATGGAATGACAAATCAGAGTAAAAATTGCTTTCAGCTCATATTACAGTGTGCACAAGAAACTAAGCTGGACTTCAGTGTAGTCAGGGTAAGTACGGAGGTCTTCCATGCTCAAATGTACATAACAGTTAAACAAATACACATTTCCTTGTTTATCCGCAGGGCATGGAGGTTTTAAGAAACGAAACGCTTCATTCTCTATTGTAACTTCTGCTCATTTTATTCTATTGGCAGTTCTTCTTTCTGGGGCCAGGTCTTTGTAGTCTTTCTCTGTTGTTTGAGACAGCACCTTGACATGCTTTCATCTTGTCCAAGCAACATGAATCTCTTTAACATCTGAAGTTAGTTTCTTGTTAAAAATCTGGCTTTTATATCACTTTGAAAATTTGCTGTCATCTTTCTAGTTTTGATGCCTGATGGTTTAAAAAAAAAAGGCTAGTTCGCTCTCAAAGAATATAAGGCCACTTTAAACATTATATTTTCGGGTGAAGTATGGCAGAGTGGATATTTAAATAATCCTAGTTGTACAAATTATTACCATTAATTTTACTTCTGTACTGCCCAATAGCCAGAGCTCCGTGGGCAGTTCACAGCAATTGAAAGCATATGTCGAATAAATACATGTTTCCAAAGACATATATGTTATAGGTACATCTGTCAGGAAGTCCTAATTGTTTACCTCTACATAACGTGTGAGAAAAGACTTTCAAATGCTAGCTTGTCACAGTTGTATGTGTTAACCCTAGTAAACATTGTGGTTTAATGTAGTTATTCTAGAAAACAAGTGGGCAGTTGAGTTCACTTTTTTTTGGCAAGCAGAAAGTATTCTTTATGCCATCTGCTTTAAGACACACTGCTCAGCTTCTCCTGGTTTTTTCCTCAAGGCTGGTAAAAACATGGGGGGAACATTTCAGAGTTCAAGATCTCTAGTTCTTGAAGGAAGCTTGGAGACCAGGAAGAGTCTTGGCATTGGGCACATTCACACATATTGCTAACTGCTGCAGTAACCACACCATGTGGTCTCTCACCTTATACCCTGGGTTCAGACAGGCTCCTGGTTTCCATGCTTTTCCGTCGTCCCTCCAATCAGTGGCATGTATCCCATCAGCCTCTTTGGCTCAGAATTAATTCCAGCATGCACTGCTTCTGCCTGCATCACTCGCCTCTCCGCGCAGGGCATGTCCTCAGTCAGCTGCCTTTTTTAAAAAAAACTGTTCGCTTTTCCGGCTCCTCTGCAAAGCAGCCGCCTGCTTGTTAGGCACTCCCTGCCGCTGCCACATACGGTGTCGATGCGCACGCATTCCCACCCCTGACTCCGCCCTCCCTGCACAAGTGTACGCACTGTCCCAGGTGGTGTCTTCAGCTGGGCGGCTTTCCCAAGGGTGCCTGTGTGGGCATCTGCCCAGGAAGGTTTTCCCACAGACGGCTAGGACAGTGTTTATCCTCTGCTGTGCGTGGTGTAGGGGACAGCGGGGCTTTCCGAGGATGCTGAGAACTGTCAGAGACAAGACTGGAGTGGAGGAAAGGGCGGGAGGCGGAGCAGGAAACGGGGGCTCCTTGGAAGGACCATCACTGGTACTGTCCCATGTGCTGCCCATTTGCTTGCATGCAGGGGAGCTCTCCTGGCAGCCGACTGGGAGCGCCTCCGTGTTGGGCAAAGGCAGTGTGCTCACCAGGCGCTTCTGCAGCGCAGTGCCAGACGTGGCTGTTCTCACGAGTGCTGCTGCTAGAGGCGGTGTGGTTCAGGGCCCTCCAGCTGGGAAACTCCTGCTGCTGTGGCTGGCAATGGGAAAGCTGCATCCTGGCAAGGAAGAAAGGCAGCGCAGAGCAGCCGATCACAGGATTAAAGCGGACAAGCCTGTGGTCTCTGGGTGTTCTCTGGGGCACCCTCGGTTTATGTGGAGTCCCAGGTGGCTCCTACAGCTGTGATGCTGGAATTCCAAAGGCCAAGTCCCTCCCTCCCTCCTCAGCGTGCCCCCTAGACAACCGGAAGCCACCATCCTGGCGTGGCATGATGCGGGGCAGCCGTGTGATTACTGCCACTGGACCGCAATCCATGTGTTGGAGGTGCTGTGCAACTGTAATGAGAGCATTGGGTTGCAGTGTGAGTCAATAGGCCATTGAACCCCGGGATATAATTAAGGAGTTTTTGCAAACCTTGTTGACTTGTTGCAATAGCAGCTGTTTAACCCTGCCTTGTTGTGCAGCTCTGATCTTCAGTCCTCGGGATGATTTGCTTGCTTCTTACGTGTGGTGGTTCTTTTTATCCCTTCAGGTCTCCTCCCTGCACTGCGTTAGGTTCAAGGATACAGTAACTCTGCCTACATTACCAGGCACCAAAACACTCTCACAGCTGTCTCCTTGTTGCTTGTAGAAGCTGCTACTGTTTATCAAGCACAGATTGATACCTATTGAAGAACATATGTAACATATTAGCTATTCCTTTTTAACTATTCTGATTCATTCATTCGTTCCTATTATTTTGTATCCTGCCTTTTTCCTGAAAGGCAGTTTACATCATCCTCTCAATTCTATCATCATTGAGTCATGGAATAGTAGAGCAAACTGAATTCTGTTTGTTTCCCATAGCCTGGGCTTTGGTATATAGACACTGAAGCCCATGTGCCGCATGGTCTGGCTTCTGTTCCAAATTATTCTGAAGCCTGCTTTGGGGCACTTCTAGAGCTGTTTTCTCCTGCATGGTGCACAAGCCTTCACCTACTGCAGCCTCCAAGTTCATGCCTCCCTCCAGTTTAAAACTCTCCAGTTTAAAACTCTCCTGATGACGTTCTTCATGTTGTGGCCAAACACATTCTTTCCAGCTCTTGTGCGGTGCAGCCATCGCTTGCCAGAGGTCTTTCTTCCAGGTTAACATAGTCTGTAGTCCCAGAATCTGAATCCTGCACATCAGCCCCACTACCGGTCAATTCACATGGAGTATTTTTCTTTCCCTTTCTATTGCTCTTTTAAGAACTGAAAGGATGGATGAAAAAGTCCTTGAGTTTCTTCCTTGAACTTCAAAATGTGCTGTGATTGCTCTGTCGGTCCATTCAGTGTTATTTGTTCCCACAGGGAGTTTAAAAAATGTATGTGTGTCAGCAGGCTTTCTGAGCTTTGGCAATCCTTCAGTCACATTTCTAACCCATGGGTTAAACTCATGGACCCATGAGTCCATGGGTCATCACAACACACTTAGATATCAGTTCCATGCAACAAGGAGTCTTCCACAACAACTGCTCTTTTCTTCTTGGTCAGTTGATGTTCTGCCACCGGCTCCTGGTTGCACAGGTTCCCTTGTAATTCTTCCTCTGCAGGCTGCCCTCCAGTTTCAACCTCATGGCAGAAAACTTAGCTTTATTGGTGTTTCTGATTCTTCTGCCCCAAACTTCCCCTGCTCCGGGGAGTTTTCTCTTCACTGACTTTCTACATATCTGCCTCCACTTATCGTTGCCCTGCCATTCTGGATGCTGCTTATTCCTCCTGCAGGTCCACCCTTTTGTCCAGGTTCGCTTTTCTTGCTCCTTTGAGGGTGGACACCCTCGGCTTAAGCACTCTCACTTTTTCTTCCAATAGTGTGACCAGCTTGCATTTGCTGAAAGTATGTACCATGTTCATGTCAGTCAGGAACACAAACATTGAACACACGTTGCAGGTCACTCCTGCCAAAGACTCCTTTCTGTCTGTCGTTCGCTGTCGAAGAATGGAGGGGGCATGTGGATTTACTGATTCTTCCATGCCGTTAGGTGTGCAGGCTGCTGCCTCGTTGAAATCGAAGTTCTTTGCCGCTCATGGTGACCTCCTTTCACTTCCCATACTTCCTCAGTTGGATGTAGGTTTTTGCTCCCACCTCCTCATAACAGCTCTGAAAGGTAAATTAGACCGAGAATTAGTAACTGGCCCAAAATCACCCAGTGAGCTTCAAAACCAAGTGGGGACTTGAACTCATATCACCTGAGTTGCCAGCAGTGAGGTAGAATGGTTTGACTGCAGTTAACCGATTAGATGTTCCTCTTCTGCCTGCAGTTTGGTTAATTTCTGGATTGCACGGCACATGACATGAAACAGTCTATATGTTGCTGCTTGTCTTCTTAAAATACATGTAAGCAGTGATCAGTTGGGATCATTCCCCACACATGTATCCAGATATACACATGTGCTTAAGACTGATGGAAATTATACTTGCTCTGCATATACAAAAGTTCTGTGTAGTGACTCATAGTGATTCTGAGTGAGATATCAACTCACTGCAAAATTAATGCAGATTCCAAAGCTGTGAACTTGTGGAAGAGGCATTGGTAGGTATAAATTATAGAAAAACAAGCAATCTATACAAGTATACTGAATATATGAAAAGTAGTATAGTATATTTGTAAATATAGATGAGAGAGATTTTCTTGGTGTGAAGCCATATCATCCTTTTACATAGTCTCTCTGCATCACACATACAGGCTCTGCACCTGCGTGAGACCTGTTGTCAGGATGAATCTATAGCTAAGCATTCATTTGGATGTGAACTCCTCCCTTTCCTATTCCCGGCAACCTAGCTCTTCATTTAGGGTTGTTGCAAAGGACGGCATAGAATTAAAATTAATTAAATTAAATTCATTTAGTGGTTATTCTAGTTAAAAAAAAACCCTATGTGTTTTATCTGTGTGTGTGTTCTATTTTTTGTTTTTGTTTTTATTTGAGCAACTTCTGTGGTCAACCACCAATTTCTGTGGTTTTATCTTTAAACCAGTAGAAATACTTGTGTTACGGCTTCCTTGCAGAAAGTGATAAAAATTCTTCTGCATGGTGTAAGCTTATTATAGTGGCTGCAAAGTATGAGACTCTCTCAGTATACAGACCACTGAACATGTGGAAACTTTACATCAGTATCATATATTGCTGGGGAGTAGCTTTGACTGTTGCACAGAATTTTTTTTACACCTAAGTTATGCTTCAGTGGTCTCAAGTTGGTGGATATAAATTGGGAATTGGTTCTTGAAAATTTGACTGTGGATTCAATTATAGTTTGTGGATGTGTGCAGTTATTTTCTAATGATATCTTCTTTTCAGTTACTGTTTCCATTACAACATAATTTTCACTAAAAGTTAAAATATGAAATTTGAAGGAAAGTAAATACAGAAGGCTTTTAGTGCTAACCATTTTCTCTTCATGGCTTTTTTCCTGGTAAAATAAGGTGGAATAAACAGTGGGAAAACATAGGAAAACCTCAAATTGGACATTGCAGTATTTTACAATATCCCTTGTAAAATTACATGAATGAGGTAGCACAATTGCATAAATAGCCTCATCTGGAAACACTTCCAATTCTTCTTTTTTAAATGATATTAAAACCCCATAGTTTGTGGAATTGCTGATACATATGGCCGACTTTATAACAGGAGTTCAAAGCAAAACAACAGTGAGATTTTAAAATGTGGATCCTTTGAAACTCAAGGAAATTGATGCTTTCCTGTGGAAAAAAAAGATTCTTTAATTTGTACAAAATTCATGTTTAAAAATATGTAACAAGCTAAGAATGAATTTCTGTGAGGACTTCATTATGTGTTCAGTGACTTTGCATGAGATCCTTTGATGACAGACGCTTTTGTGTTTGCAGACTTGGGTTGGCAACAAAAGAAGGAAGATGAGCAGCAAGAATGTTGTGGATTCTGGAGGAACTCAGACGGGGACTGTCGCCAGCTCGTTGACGGTGCCTTCAGAAGTGGCGGTCCGAAATGTGGTCAGCATTGCTCGCTCCCAAAGCCAGCAGTCGTCCTGGACATCCTCCAACAACGACGTCATCGTCACTGGTATATACAATCCAGCTGGTTCCTCCGGCAGACTGGTGTCCGCTAAGCAGTCTAATGCGCTGATGAGCGATATGCATAAAAACTCTCTTCCAAGGCCGCCTGTGAAAAGCGACCCTGAGTTCCAGCGGCAGCACATTGCAGTGGCACGTCAAGCACCCCACTGTAAAAACGCTTCCCTGTTCCTGGGGGAAAAAACTATTATCTTGTCAAGGCAAACAAGTGTGTTGAATTCGGCAAACTCGATTTATAATCACACTAAGAAAAGCTATGGCGGATCTTCCGTTCAGACTGCAGAATTGGTTTTACCTCAGAAACCCGTGTTGTGCCACCGGCCGTGCAAAGTGGAGCAAATGGGGTGCCAGAGGCTACAGAAACCAGAGCATGCGATGCTCGCCTCGCACTTGCCGTCAGGACAAAGGGCTAACATTAGAGATCCGTCCTGCAGCACTCACAACTTGGAGATCCGAGAGGTGTTTTCCCTGGCTGTTACGGATCAGCCTCAGAGGATCCTGGGGAATGCGCAGAAGTCGTCATCATCGTCTTCAGGAGAAGGCAGCTGTTTGTCGATTGCCATGGAAACTGGGGATGTGGATGATGAGTATGCTAGAGAAGAAGAGTTGGCATCAATGGGTGCCCAGATACAGAATTACTCCAGGCTCAGAGTTGAGAATCCAGGCACTGGTCTGTCCGGATCAAGCAGAAGCATCAGTTGCAGTTCACACGTCGGGAGCAGTAGGGACTTGCATGACAACATCCTGTATCATAACCGAGACTATCGCTTGCCGCCACGGACCTCTTTGCATACCACATCCAGTACTTTGTATAGCAGTTCTTACCCATCAAGAAGTAATCTTTCTTCTCATTTTGCAGCATCCAATCAACTAAGACTGTCTCAAAACCAAAATAATTACCAGGTAATTTTTCCTATGTTGTAATGCATGGGCTTTTAGGGAATTATTTTTCTTTGTGTGTTTGTTTTGCAAACCAAGGGCTGCGGCTAGTTAATTTCAATGTGTTGTCGCCGTATTAGGCATTCCGTCCCAAAAAGCGTCACTTCTGCATTGCTGAGTCATCATGTATTCTATTATTCCATGTTTCTGGGCACCCTTTCCTCCACACCAGAGATGCAGTTGTAGCGTTGGCTCAGAGAGAGGAAGGCCATGGGGTCCTCACTACCAAAGTCCTCGTCACCTCTTGCCCCTAGTAGGGCAGTACCCACCTTTGTTACTTCTTCATTGCCCCCTTGGTCTAACAGTGTCTGCCCATGATACATGAAGGGAGTTCCCATGTCTTTTTGCTATTCTCTCTCCACCACCCCACACCAGAATTAATTTCCAGGCTTTATGGCATTCGTTCTTTATGGCAGAGGCATTGGAACAAGACCATTTAGTTCATTTGGGCTGGTACCTGATGTAGCTGCCTGAGCCACCTTGGTGGTAGCCAAGTCTTTCCAGCATGTGGTGCCAGTTATTGTTAAGCAGGATACTGCATTGCTATCCAAAACATCTATCAAACTTGAGAGTACCATCTTCTTAAGGATATAAGAAACTTTCCAGATAATATAAAAGGTGACATTTGACTGATATAATTGCTCACATGTGTAGTTTTGCTACAAATACTGTCTTTGAAGCTAAGTTTGTGGAAGAATATGAATGTTGCATTATAGATCTTAAGCCAATAGTGCATGGTTAAGCATTTTTAATAAACAAAGAGAATGATATTTTGGCAACACCTCCTCAACATACATTGTTTCAGGATTCCTAGTGTCAGGATCCAGGAGTCTAGCAGTGACAGAGGCAGAAGAACCAGTGGCACTAACAGAAGTAATGCCCGGTCCAAGCACCACTGCCGAGTTGTCAGAGATCCCCGGGTGTTCTGCAAGAGCTGCACATTCCAGGGAGATGATGATGATGATGATGATGATGATGATAACATTTCTATGCCGCCCCTTGCCGAAACCTCGGGGCGGCTTGCAACACAATAAAATACATTGAAATACAATAGAACTTATTGTATCAGCGTGTCCGCTGATGCATCAGCGTGTCCGGCATGAACTCTTGGGGACACGGAGGAGTGCTAGGCCGCAACTCAGAGGCCCATCTCTTTTAGGCTGTGAGAAAAGATGGAGTCTGTGACTACAGCGTGGAAGGTTTCCATTTAACCTCAGACCTGGTTGCTCACTAGGCACTCTCCTTTGCCATGCAGCCGATTCCTTGCTTCCTTACCACCTTGTTACATTGTGGTCTGATACTGAGTCCCATCTTGCTTCAACCCACTGATAAGCAACATATGCTGCATGGTTTCAGTTTGCTATGTGGGCATCCAGAACTGCTGATACAGGAAGGGAAGCTTTCAATATATCAGCCCCTGTTCTCTCAAGGGGGCAGGGGATTGTCGTGTGTCTTTTGGATAGGAGACCAAACCCCATTGCCCGGCTTCCTAGCCTAGTATCACCTCTGTATGGAACTCTGGCCTAAGCATTTCCCTGATGATCAAGTGATCAGTCTGCTGAAAGGGAATGTCGCTTCCCTCCTCAACAGCTGCTCAGAATTTACACGTGAAGTGGCATAGAGCCTTGACCCACTGAGTCTGCTAATTGCCACATCTGACATTTGCAGCAAGAGTCCAGCTCCGTCGTGCAGCCTGTCAGTGGGCATAAGAAGTGGATGTGCGGTGTGGACTGGAAGGGTCAGCCAGTTTTCAGAAGGCCTGAGGGAGGAGATCCTAGTGACTGGCTCCAGTTGACCCACCTAGACTCATGCCAGACCTGCTTAATGGAAGACTTACCTGCACAGCCCTATCAGCTGACTGTGGATCTGCAATGTGGCTCCTGGAGGAAAATACTGCCATCGACAGTTGGACTGCTGTGGGGGAATGCGTGCTTTGCTAGTGTCCATTATAATAGTGCCCCATATTTCAGTAGGAGTGATGAGGACTGCATTGCACTTGCTACAGAAAGGCCTGCTGCTGCTGCTGAGGACTATATTTCCAGGGATTCAGAAAGTGGCACTCTCAGGACCACAGCTAGCTTCACATGCTGCTGGTCGTCCCTGCCGGTGGGGTCATCTAGTAACTTCATTGATGACATTCATGATCATGCCAACTCAACGAAGCCTACATTTTCCCCGTGGCCATGGAGATGATTGATGGGAGAATTCAGGTCTTTGGTCCAATCACACTAGAGGATAGAAGGGCATAGGCAGCAGCTGATCTTGGACCGCTCACTTTCTACTTGCATTAGGGATTCCTTGACTGGCTTCATATGACCCACCAATCTCCTGGCAGGCTACATCATTTTCTACTAATTTTACTGCCATCAGTGCCATTGATGACAATGCCAGCCTATTCACCCAGCTCTCTACTCCCAAAGTACAGTAACTTCCAGGATATCTTTAACTCTATAGAAGCTAACACCTTACCACCACGCTGGCCATATGCTTGTGTCACTAATCGCCTTCAGTGCCTGATCGGGAGTTAGATAACAACCGGAAGCCTTTATTCCTTATCTGAAGCTGAATTTGCAACCCTTCTGGACATCCTTGATAAGAAAGGTTTTATCCATCCTTCTGCTTTCACAGTTGCTCTTCCCATGCACTTTGTAAACACAAAGTGTGGAGAACTGTGTTTGCATGATTATGAGGCCTTGAATATTACCACCATCTGGAATCACTGTCTCCTGCAATTAATTCCCAAGCTCTTAAAGAAGCTGAGGATTGTTACTAAATTGGACCTTCCAGGGGCATGTGATTCAGTATACATTAAAAGGGAGATTAATGGAAAACTACCTTCAGAATGCGTTATGGACACATCAATTATACATAATATCCTTCAGGCTTGGCAACGCTACAGTTGTCTTCGAACATTTCATACTTGATATATTCCATGATATCGTAGAATGGGTAGTAATAACTTACATGGATGACATATTGGTTTACTTTGAGACATCCCAGCAACATATACAACATGTCAGGACAGTTCTGCTATGGCTTCAAGAACTTCATTTCTATGATAAATGAGAAAAATACTGCATTCAGTCTCACCACTGTAGAATCTGGCATCATATGATTTCCCCTTAAGGAGTCCAGATGGATGTATCTAATATCCAAGCACTCTTGATCTGGCAAGCTACACGGATATCTGCAATGGTTTCGCGGCTTCAACCTTTATCAGTATCCGATTCCTACTGAACAGAATTATGCAGTACAGGAGAAGGAATTCTGACCACAAAAGCTACCTTTGAGACAGAACAGACCAACCACACACTGGAGCAGTATCTTGAATGTTACTCGTCACATCAGCAGGACAACTGGCCAGACCTGCTGGCCATAGCAGAATTTGCCTGTAACAGCACAGTTCATTCCTCAAGCCTGCCACTCTTCATTCTTTGCCAGTCCTGGCTTCCAGCCCTGTTACTTTCCTGATGTCACTTTGCCTACCAATGTTCCTGCTGCTAATGCCTTTCTGTCAGAACTCCAAGCTATCTAAGAATTTTGGGATCATGCCAGAGACATGTACAAGGACTGTGCAGACTGCAAGGTTGGTGACGAAGTTGGTGATCTATGCACAGAACAATCTTCCAGTGAACTTGACTTCAAGTACTTTAGGGCATTCCCTGTACTCGAACCAATCCACCCTATCAAACAGGATTAGTGATCAATATATTCAGTTTTTCCTTGGTCCCTTGTGGTACCAGTTGTCCCAGCTGTAGACTCTGACAGGCACCACCATTAATGGTTAAATAGGAAGTTACCCATATTGAGACTCATTACTCCATAGAGATGCTTGCAGCACTTAATTAATTGACTGAAGATTTTTTGTGGCAGGTTATTATCAGTGTGCATGCTTTGGCTTTGGTGAGGCTTTCAGAACTGCTCTTCAAAAAGGCAGGCCTGTTGCAGGCGGTTTACAGAACAGTGGGTGGTGTCATGACCTAGGCGTCTAGCGGTGTTGTTGGCATCTGTGGCACTAACAGAAGTGACTTCAGGTTTGAGCATCACTGCAGAGCTGCCAGGGACCTCTTAGCCCTAGCTGGGTCGTAGGGCAGAGACCTGTCCCTTAAAGTCTTCCCGCATGTGAGAACAAGTAAAGTCTGGAACAGCGGCATAAAAAACTTTGGTTTGGCATCAGATCTTGTAGCATAAGGAACTCTCCTGGGTGCTGCAACTTCATGGCTGCTTGATGCCTTGCCTCTTTGTTGCCTTGCCACCTGATCCTGAGCTCCGTGGGGTTCTGCATATTTCTGAACAGGACATCTTGACTAATAGGGAGAGTCGTGTTATTCAATCAAGCAATTTTGCTCTTGAGGTTTGCCTTTTTGAATGAATTTGGCCTACCTAATTTAAGTGATTAGGCCAAGGAACAGATTTGTACTAGGTGAATGAACTAGTTTCTGAATACTGAACTTGGACTATAAGGGTCAAACTATGCCTGGTGTTGAATGTGCATCATCTTTTGACATATCCGACTCTTGTTTGGGAAGCATGGGCTGGATCATGATTACAGTCAGTGGGGAAAGGGTTAGCTTTTTCCTTGTCCACCTCAGTTCGTATGAAAAGGTCCCCACTTTCACCCCAAGGCATTAGGAAGGAAGTATCCAGATGGGAAAACCACAGCACTGTTAGAAATTGTTAACCCGCTCCCTTGCAATTTCCCTTTCAAGAACAAAAATAGTGCGTGTTAACTAAGCCTTCATTTTAAATGAAATAGGTGTGTGTTTGTGGTTGCTTTTTCCTATTTTGTTTGAATCCATCTTGCTAATTTGCATTTCATCATGCAGCTTGGATATCTCTGGGTAATAAAATAGTATACAATGTTTAGTATACTATAAAGTATCAATAGGATACTATGAATAGTACACTATTTACTATACTATATGTAGTATACTATTGTATATTATATGTAGTATACTATAAAATAGTATGGTGTTTTGACTTTGCCGTGTGTTATGTGCAGGGCTGCAATCACAGCCAGCTTAAGCTTGAAACAAACCAGCTTCCAGTAACTAGAAATGAGCTGGCTTGTCTCATCTAATTGTAGTTAAGATCAACTAGTTGAGGTTTTAAATGGCACAGTACATTTACAACATAAAGGTGAGTTGCAAAGAAAGGAGAAGCTTCTGATCTTCTTGCATCAGAGAAGTAGAAAGGACCAGAGAGGAGCATGTAAACCCGCTCTCTGCTGTGGGGTTTGCTGTAAAATCAAATCAGGCTTCAGTGTTGCGTTCTCTTTGACTGTCTGAGAAAAACCTGTGTCAGGCAACACATGAAAAACTTGTATGCTTTTTGGAAATGGAAACATTGTTAGAGAGGTAAGTTACCAATGCAAGTTTACATAGGCCTTTTAAAAGTCATGCAGCTGGTGGACAGAATGTAGATTCAATGTATATGCCTGATTTTTCTGTTATTACAAGAGAGAAACTGAGCAAGGTTTCCTCTTCTACAGCAACTGTTGTGGCAAGCATGGAGGGTCAAGTCCTGAATGCGATTACCCCTTTTTGGCAAATAGAAATGGGTTTGCAATTCAACAAGAGTTTGCCTGCATTAGCTCACATGATGCCCTTAACATAAATTATTGGTTATCTTATATTAGAACTTCACCCTTTATGAAACATCTGTAGAACTTTTTTGCCTTTCTCAGCTTGGCTCAGTCATGTCAGTCTTGGTCTTTACTGAAATGAACCACCTGGCCATTTGCTCCTTCCTTACCTCCTAAACCTGGCTTTGGCAAAGTTTTACTTTTAGCTTTTTTAAACCACCACTTTTCATAATCTGAACTGGGAAATAAGGGCCTATTTTAATCATGGTGTGAGACCAAACTAAATATTGGTTTGAAGGGAACATTTAAACAGTAGTTTTCTGGGTTCCAGGCATTGCAGTAAGTACTTTAAGAAACTAAGGAAGCTTCACATGAGGAGGAAGGCAAGGAAGGAGTCTTGAGGCATATTAGTAATTCTGGGGCAAGTAGACCATGGACCAGGTTTATTGGCCCAGCTCACATGGCACAGCAGGGCAGAGTTTTGTGTTTTTTAAAACTCTGGGTTTCCGCAAGGCACCTAGTGTGGTAATGCAAGCAATGATCACTCCTGCTTGGCTCCTCCTGCCAGCTGGGACAGTTAAATAGTCCAGGGTCAGCCATTAGTGTTATGGTTGAACCTGAAACCAGAAATCCTGTCTGGTCTCTTCCGCAGCAAGCCAGTGTCAGCAATGCAGCACCAATGCCTCCAGCCTCTGGCTTGTTGGAGGGCTGGAAAATAAGCCAGAGTTCATGGCTTAGATGATACTCTAAGCCAGGGGTCTCAAACTTGCGGCCCTCAGGCCAATTGCCAGGATGGGCGGGGCACGGGCCCTGCGGCCTTCAAAGCGCCGGTGGTGCCCAGGCCGGCCTCTGGGATCAATGCGGGATGAGCGGCCCACCACCACCGCGGTGGTGGAATACTTGATGTGGCCCAGCCTTACCCAGACTCTACTCCAGCGGCCCCCAGGTAAGTTGAGTTTGAGACCCCTGCTCTAAGCAGACAGGGAGAGTCTCTGACTTATTTAGTCAACTCTGATGCCAGGAGAAAGGTTCCCTAGGCAGAAATACACCTGTTCACAGGTTTAAAAACCTTTGGGGTACAATTAACATGCAAACTCTCTTATTTCATCTGAACCAGGCTATTTAAAGAGAAGAATTTATATTCAGCTTTTTAAAGTAAGGAATTATAGGCACATGTTTTGCATGTTGTGTGTGTTGTTCAATTGCACTTGTACTGCCCAAATTTGGTATTATCTCTAGATTTTTTTTCATAATATTATCTTTCCTTCCGCAGATTTCAGGAAACCTTACTGTGCCTTGGATTACGGGTTGTTCCCGAAAAAGAGCAGTAAGTACTTCTCATCAAAATTGCAAGCAGACTGAATTCAATCTTAGATCGTATTTTTTTTTTAAGTTTAAATCTCAGTAACTATTATGATTAGGAGGCCATTCAAGGTTTAAGTTTGAAGGAAAACTGTTTACCAGATGACTTTCTTCAGGGTCATTCTTGAAAGAGTAGATGTTACACTGTTGGTGTGTGAAGCCCCAGTATGAGACAGATCTGAGTTATAGCCAGCCTTTACATTTTCGAAAATGTGGCTGAGCCAATCGATCCATTTTGTTCCTAAATGTAAAGTGTTATCTGATACCTGCCAGACTTAGCAATGACTAATAAAGCCAGTCCTACAGTCTCTGTGAATCCGCATCCAAACTGTAAATCTAATGACCGTAACGTTGGGGGTCCTAATGACCTACTATGGGGAGTTTTAGTTTCTTTCTGCTCCCCTGCTGCTGGCAGTTCTTGTTACCATGTACCCTAAAGATGAATTCTGATGAACTCAAAAGCCTGCACAATCTTTTGGAGCAGTTTGGATTGCTCTGATGACAAAGGTACTGTCCAACTGGATATAGATTTTGGGATGTTGGGTACGTTTAACAATGGATTGCAGTTTTCTGTCTTTCCAAGCAACTTGGCATGCCATCACTAGTGATTTGGATTTAAGTTACTCTTATCCTGCAAGACTGTAAAACTCTCAAAGCTTATCTGTCAATGCTGACAGTCATGAATGAGTAAGGATGAAGATTATGATCTGTGTGTGGCGATTATCCTTAAATCCTACACATTGACACTAATTTCTTTAATGTCATTGTTGTATTAATAGATAATTATATCAATTTACAGTTTGCATTTCTGGGTTTAAGTAATGGCAGAGCAACAATGAAAACTTAGAATGAAACCTGCTGTTAGAAATCCTCTGTTTGTAAGATGGACTACAGTATTTTTTCACTTATTGAATAATTCTGCTGATGGATTGGTGTCACTAAAAGCAACTGGGAAAACCCAGTGAAGTGAAAAATAACATGGCCTTTTTGAAATGCAGAATGAGGCTTTGAAAATGAGCATTACTAATGGTAAGAGTAACAAAGACAGCTTTAATTGTTGTCTCTCAAAGTAAAACCTTCATACTTAGAATTTATAGTCCATTTCAACTAACTATTGAAAGCTCTCCTCTTCCATTCTCCATGCCTCTAAATAGTTTTTGCCTTTTCTTTTTCTGTCTCATTTAATTAATTTAGAGAGAATGATATCCAGGCTGCCTGGCACACAGCAAAAGGAAAATGCAGTGATAGGGAACCATAAATCTTTTAGTTCTTCAATAACTCTAAATCTACCCTGGAAAAACAACAGCACACAGATTCCTCTTTTAGCATTATTGGTTAACTATCTTGCTATTAATTTGTGATGGTGTTAAATAGCCCGAATCCCTCCAATTGAAGACGCTTTTAAAGCAATTTTAAACCTGTTTGAGGACGTTCAGATCTAATGAATACCACAAATTCTAGGATTTCATATAATCTCTTCATTTGCTCAGAGAAATTGTATTCAAATAAGATTTGCAAGAATGGATAAGTTAGTTTGTAAGTTATGCTGGGATGACACAATAACTTAATTGTCTTTGTGACCCAGAATAATCTTGTGTGCCATTCTACGCTGAATTATGGAGGAATATGGCCCGAACCTGTCATACTCCACAAAGAACCTATTGCATGTTTTATTCCATGCAATACTTAAGCAGCAATACTTGATGCAATATTTCTTGATGCTTTAAAACCATGGTAATGCAAGTACAAAATATTTTTCCACAACAGAAGTACAGATCCTGACAGAAAGAGGTGTGAACTTCTTCCTTGTCCTATCTAGTTTTTGTGTGATTTAGCTGAAACATGCCATGTTCATTGCCCCCTCCTGTTCACATCAGTGCAGCAAAAATATTTGTGGGAATTAAGCCGAGCTTCTATCTTTTATTAAGCATTTAAGAAGTGGGGACAATGTGGCAGTGTTGCATTTAACAACCTTCCCCTATTGAATCAAGAGCCCTTCTAATCTAACCTCCTTTCCCCATCAAGTCCTGCTGGATGTTTTTGCAAAGCCCACAAGCAAGGTATGAAGCCTCCCGTTGTTTTTTGTCCTGAGCGTCTAGTAGTCAGGGATATGTGTGGATTCTCGGTGAAAACTGGAATCCAGGGAACACAAAAGTACTTTGTGCTGCCCCCACATAATATCAGGAACCCTTTCCCAAGAAATCTACTACAAGACTCCTAAATACTGGTAGAGCATTCACTGATCACTGTGACTCCCTTTAAAGACATCCTGACCAAAACTGACAAGTCTTCCGGTTTACACAGGAAAAAGATGTGGCTATGTTAATGTGTACAACTCTTGACAGATTGGGCATTTTGAAATGTGACTAAGTGCCTTCTGAAAATTAATTGTTAATTTGTATTGTTAATTTATATTATTCTATCTTGAAGTTTATTTATGGTTGTGAGCCACCCCGAGGCTTCGGCAAATGGGGCAGCATAGAAGTCTCCTAAATAAAATAAATAATAAAATAAAATAATAGTTGACGGCACTAATTAAAGATACAGCTGAGATTCCCCACATCGTGTTCCTTTATCTGCTTGTCTCTTGGTCTGATTACTAATCAAGGTCACTGTGTAAGTATCTCTCCTGTTATTCCCAGAGAGGTTTTTTTTTTTTTTTTATCCCTCTCAGGTTCCTATAAGAGTCCAAGGACACACAGTGCAGTTATGCAGGTTTTGGCCAGTGCCTAGAAGAGAGATGATCCAAGAGCCTCTTAAGAACTTCTGAGAGCTTTTTTTAGAAACATCATTCTTTGCCATAATCATACCGCATTGATGTGCTTTACTAAAATGCAAAGAATGAACCACTTGAAACTTAGTGGTGTGACTTCATGTTTCTGGAGCCGCCTACCATTTTGCAAAGATTTCCAGATGGAGCATCACAACAGATCTGGAAATCTGAAATTCATAGAATTTTTATATGTAGTGGAATTCAATCTTCTCCTGAATCTGTGCTGTTGTATTTTGTGAATTCAAATAACAACATTCCAGATATTTCTGTTTACTTTTCCAGAGAAGTCTGGAGTAGGACCATGAGAAAGACCGACATGGTCTGTTCCGTAAAGGTTGCTCACTCTAGCTTCATCTTAATTCCTCTGTCATTGAGAATGCTAGAAGCATTAAGCCACGCCAGGTAGTGATTTTAGCTGTTCAGATTTATGTTTAATTTGCTGAAGAGTATAATGCCAGATAGCTATAATAAGTGATCATCTTAATGGGTGCAACAGAGCAATAATAATGTCTCCTTGTATCATTCCTTACTCTTCTCCCTGAGACTTCCTTCTCTGAATGGTGCTGTAGATATCCTGGGTCAAATGTTAGAGGATTAACTACTTAATCTGCTTGAAAGGGGTGTGTGTGTGTGTGTGTGTGTGTGTGTGTTGGCTAAATTCACAACTATGACTCCAGGTCTTTAATTACTGTGGTCTCTTGAAAATCTGCATGTGTCTTTGCACTATGCTTGGCGGGTGTACAGACTTGCAAAAGCAGCCCTTCGGTGCCTGTCCAAAACAGTCAATGCCTTTTGCAAGGGTGCCTTGTTAAGTGCTGAAAAGAAACAAATGTTGACTTTCACACATAAGAAACCATGTATAATCTTGAGCATGACAGAGAGGCAGCTTTTGCTTATCCACAAGGGCTGCTTTTTATACTGAATTAATTGAAGCTCTTTGCCAGAAACTGTCTGACAACCTGTCCTTCAGCGTGTGTATAACGTGACTAATGAATTTAACACCAGGCATGATGTGAGTGATTTAGGAAACAAAGGGCATGGTGAAAATCTTCAATCAGGGAGCTTGTTTACATGAATAACTCGTTAACCTCCTGCTTTCTGATACTTGACTGGTGACAATCTCAGTGTAAAGTCTGGGTTCACCTCCAGCTTACATCCTATTGCATCTTTTTTCCAATACAGATTGTTGATAAGTTAAAGAAAATGACAAAAAGCCAGAGTGCTATTAATGACTTCCGGGGACACTGGGGTGCGGGGTAGGCATTAGGGAGGAAATGTGTTCATTAGTTTTGTGTAATTGCACTCCCTTCCCATTTTTAATACCATGAATTTGCTATACCATCCAGACATGGGATGACACCAGTAATTAGGTCCATTTCAGTTTGGCTTTTAGCTTGGGTGTGGCACTGAAATTGGTTGCCCTGATGCTGGGAACTCTGATCCTTTGATAGCCAGTACTCACAAGATAAGAATATCTTGTGGATAGCTTTGGGTGAGCGACTTGCTCCAACAATGGCTGTTGGCAGTCTGATGTCTCTAATGCCTCCTGACTATTGCTTTTAAACATTGTCTCCTTGCCTAAACAATATCGAAGAGACAATTACCTGACCTGGAAAAAGGCACTTCCTTTCTACTTTGTGACCTCCTACCGAGTACATTCTCTTTGTTTATTGAGCTTTTGGCTACTTGGGAAGATGCTTGTTTGGCTTCCAGGCTCTGCCTTGGCATCAGGAGCTTGGTCTGAGCTTGACACTGGGAAGAAGAGAGGGGAGTTCCCTGGGATTCTCTGTAGCTTTCAGTACCAACTATGATATCCTTCTGGACCAGTTGTTTGGGTTGAGGATGAAGAGCTGTGAACTCAGTGGTTCAATTCCTATCTGGATGGCTACTTCCCAAAGTCTCTGTGTGTATGTTGTGGGGAAGGGACCATTGCTCTGTTCCTTTGCAATTATACTGCAATAGGTTGCGGGGTGCTAGTTCGTTCCTCATTTCAGTGGTTCTAATACCTGTAAGCACCTTCAGGTCTGATACTCTTCTTGCAAGGTAAGCCAGGCTTCCTGCTATGTCAAGACAGCAAGGGGCACTGTGCTGCTCTGCACATAAAGGTGTGAAACCTATTTCAACCAAAGAACTGAATTCAGTTTCAGAGGAGGTTTCAAGACTGTAGGGAGCCCTGGAAGAGGTAAAGGCAATGGAGCTAGTGCTGTCTGGGGTACTCAGGAGGGCTGGATTTAGCCCCTGTACCTGATGCTGTTGAATCAGGTTTCGAGCTAAGTATTAGTCACAAATGCAGGCTGCTTTAACCATTGTTTGGGGGAGATATTTGTGCGTGGGGGGAGTTGTCCTAATTTGTCGTACGCTGTTCTTAGAGCCTTCATGCTGAAGAGTGAGATTAGGAATGCTTAGCGCGAACAACACCACATCGTTTGTATCCTTCTGTGTAGTGGGGTGGTTGACTGGTTCCCCAGTCCTCTAGTTCTGGACTCTTCCTTATGGATTTTGGCAAAGCACGAGTGCTTTTTTATGATTGATGGAAAGTTCTCATCTGGAATCAGTGTTCATTGACTGGAGTTTTATTATTTCTCTAAGGAAAAAGACAGTTCCCTTTATCAAACGGTATGTTTTTGCAGGGATTTTTATGCTTTACAAGTAGCCAGATGTGCACTTTATTGATTTGCATTCTATTTCTCATCACTTTTATATAGAATAATAAAATTATAAATGAAACTGAGGATATGCTTTATTGGACCAAATATTTATGAACAGTACAGAATCGTTACAAATAGTTCAATTTCTGACTTCACAATAGCAGGTGGAATGCCTTCATGTTTCAATCTCTATCCTCCTTGTTTGATTTTTGACACTTAATAAAACAGAAACATGTGCTTGTGTTACAGCTACAGGATCGTACACAATTCAGTGACCGGGATTTAGCTACCCTGAAGAAATACTGGGACAAGGGCATGACTAGCCTTGGGTCAGTTTGCAGAGAGAAAATTGAAGCCGTTGCTGCAGAGTTAAATGTTGACTGTGAAATAGTCCGGGTAAGAAGCCTCTAGTTCTCCCATTTCTGGTTCAGAAGCAAAAATAGCTAGATGAAAGCTTTTTTTAAAATTGCATGAGGTAGACTGAAATAGATTGTGTTACATAATGAATGGCCATGTTAGGAAGTAGTCTTTTGCTCTGTGTATTTATAGCTAAAATCCCTCAGGTGAGACATATATCGATTGGCAGCATGAATTGGATATTTGACACTTCAGTTGGGCTGCAACTTATATAAGTTTATAAACCAGGAAGGGCTTTGAGAGCTGAAACAGAATAATCATTGCAAAAGAATACCAAACGTTTTTGCAGAAGAGTGTAGAATGTTGCTTCCTTTTAAATTTGTTTTTATTTTCTCTCATGAGGGAGAACCATCACTCAATGGCAGAGCAAACCTGTGCTTGTATCAACTCCCATATTCCTGAGCTGGAATTTGTCTCAAGTTAGCATTTGATCAGAGCTCAGGACAGTGGTAGAAACTGTTATGGGCAAGAGGTATAATTGTTAGAGAAGGTTATTTATATGACTTTCTGCATGAGGAGAGAGACAGGGAAGGGGCGTAAGAGTCATAGGAAAACCTCAGTCAAATGCCCCCTATGCCATTAATTTAGTAGCTAGTTTAGCTTCTTTTCTCCTGTATTGCAGAGCAGGGACTGAGTGCAACTCAAAGAATACTGCCCTTCCTTACTTGGTTATTGGAAGGATCAACTCAGGCAATTTATGTGTAATATTTTGATCATTGCAGGAGTACCATATAATTATCATGTGTAGTTATGACATTTTATCCCACCTTTCTGCCAAGGAACTCAAGTCAATGTCCATGATTCTTCCTCTGTTTCCCATTTTGTCTTTACACTGACCCCATGAGGTATGTTAGACTGAGGCAGAGTGACTGGCCCGAGGATGCGCTTCACAACTGAGTGGGAATTTGAATCCCTGGATTAGTCCAGTAGTGCAGTGCATACTACTTTTAAAGAGTAGTCGTTTCGTTAAAAGAACGTATGTGAAAATAATCAAAAGCACACAAAAACGGTGCCCTGAAAAGAAATGAATATTCATTGAGTATGCCGTATCTTTTTCTCTGCCCATCCACACACAGAGCTGCTCCAGAAAGGGATTCGCTGCTTCTGTGTGAAGATTTTTAGACCCATGTCTGTGCAATAATGATTGACTGAGACAATAAACATAATGATAGAAGTTCTAGTTGCTTACTTTTTTATAACTAAATACTACTCGTATCTCCCTCCCACACACACACAGTTTGCAATCTAAGATGCTTTTGCGGTGACGGTTACTTGTGGTTTCCCTGCCACTACCAGCACCACATTCTCTTTCTTTAGAAGCTCAATTAAACATTGCTATAATGAAAACATTATCTTTTCAAATACATTAAGTAGACTTTTGACAATTGCAGCTTACTTTAACCAATAATTAATTGAAGCGTGTAGTTAAAAATACTTGATTTGTTGAAGCAGTTGGCTTTTTAGCTTGAAGAAGCAGTTTATAAACATTCTTTTTTTGACTTAGATTTCTCTGATCTTTGGGGCATGCTGCAGCAGTTTCTTCCAGAAATGGAAGGACATTAAATATAAATATAGTTTTAATGTTGTTGTTCTACTGATGTTAAATGTTTAAAGTGGAGCATGCTGATGTTATGATACTTGCAGTATTCCATTGATGGATTGAAAGGACCAGGAGATCGTGATGTTAGGAACTTCCAAATGTACGTTCTTCCACTTGGTGCCAATTATGGATGCAGTTCTATATGCAGATCAGTAATAAGCATGCATAGAATTGGGCATTGCATCAGGACAGTGTTTGTTCGTTTCAATGTGTGTTAGAATCACATCCTGCTTTCAGCAACATTCAGAAGAGCAGATATCAAGCCAGGAACCTCAAGTAAGCATCCCAGAGGACAGGACCAAAGCTGGATATGTTGCACATAAAGGGCCCTGTCTTGGATATTTGCTTGTCTAACCTCAGTGGGTACAGGGGACAGAGCATGGTCTTGATCAAAGACTTGACAGGAAGCAGAAAGGACAGTGTATAAGTCATACCAGTCCTATTGTGCTGAGAGCTTTAAAGATCAATGCCAGCATTAGGAAGTCAGTATGGAGCCAATAACATTGACCTTTTAGTAGAGTGATAAAAGGGTTCCAGTTCAGATTGTTGCATCTACATGTTTCTCTGCACCTGTACAGAATTTCTCCTTCTTTTGTCTAAGGAATGCTGTCTCTTTCCAGCACCTGTGTGAAGAAATTGTAATATCCAAGACTTAGAAATTATAGGGCTTTCCCCCTTGAATTACCAAGTTTTGGCTCGATGATATCTACTGATACGTTCCGTATATTTTTCTCATTGTAAGACTTGGATTGGGAATCGGAGACGAAAATATCGTTTAATGGGAATTGAAGTCCCTCCTCCTCGAGGTGGCCCTGCTGATTTTTCTAGTCAATCTGATTCCAGTGGTAAATCAATACCCATTCCAGGAGATGATGCTTCGACTGATGTGGGAGATGATAATGACAGGAATGATGAAGTATCAATTTGCCTATCAGAAGGAAGCTCACAAGGTATTGTATCAAGTGGGACTCACCATAAAATGCTGCCGCATGGAGTGTTTTTAGTTGTGCAAGCCAATCAGCCATTTCTTCTTCCAGGATACTGCCTTACGTACCTTTCACCTTCAGATTTCCATGCTTTTCTTAACTGATATTTCGTATTTCATGCTTCATTTGTATTTCTACAAACCTTTGGGCTAATTGCATATGGATGGTTCCACCTTGGCTACATAAGGAGTGATGCTGAGAGAGAGTTTGCTATTAAAATATTCAAGTGTTATTCAGTCCCATAACCTGCTACTCCATCCTATTCTCTCTCCCTGGTTTGCTGTTTCTCCTACAACACTTGGCCACCATTCCAAACTGTCTGAGCAGGAGGAGTCCTCAGGCTTGGAGAGTGGGGGCAATGCTTCTGCAAACACTAGAGTTCCTACAAACCTGCTGGTAACTCTTTCTTGTGCATGGATGGTACCATTTTGGCTCTGTACATACTTCCAGAGAATTGAATTTTCTATGTGATTTCCCTTTAATCTTTCATACGCTGGCTCAGCAGCCTGAATTTTCACCCTCCTGATAACTAAGTATTAGCTAGCATTTTGCTCCTAAGTGTACTCACACCGGAATAAGTGTGATCGGATGCGTTAGAATCACATCCAAAGCTTGAAAAGTTTTAGCCTGTGGGTAACATCTTCAGAAGACAGGAACAAGGAAATCTACCTTATTCTGAGTCAGAAAATCGGTCCGTCTGCTTCAATGTTGTCTGCCCTGATTGATGGTGGTTTTGTGGGATTTCAAGCAGGAGTCTTGCCACCTCTCCAAGAGAAAGCTGAAAAAGCAACTGCAAATTAAGACTGAAGAGAGCAAATTTACCCGAAGCAGTCACATGTTAAGTTAGAATGCGGCTTATCAATAATACAGAGATACAGAAGACCAAAGTTAGTTGTACACACTCACAAAACACTGGGGCGATCCATTGTGGCTCACTGGCATCAGCATGATCTGCAGTTGCTGGACTGGAGCAGATCCTGCTCTCTCCTTATCATATCAGAAGCATGAGGAGCCAAACGGGACTGGTGATCTCTCCTCCCTCTGTCCTGGGACCAGTGGCGGTCTGCACAGAACTGAGTGGATGGGGCAGGGTTCCCTCCCAATCAAATGCTTATTTAGAGAAGTTTCCCAACAGCAGGCTCTGTGCAGGCACCAAGCTCATATGTATGAATGCACAGATGGTCACTTGAGGAATGGCACTTAGAGATAAGCAGCCTGCCTTTGTATATACTCCTCTCAGCTGCACCCCGCCGTCTGGGAAAGGTGGTTGACCAGTGTCAACTTATTATACCAGTTGAGTAAGAGGACAGATAATCCCACTTGCTCAGCGACTGGACAGTGGCCCTTTAACAAGGATGATATAAGAACAATCTCCTTGCATAAAAGAGAAGGCACTTGTTGGAATCGACTGCTACACAGCAAACGATGCAGCAACAACAAGCAATGATGGAGCCGTGTGTTAGAAGACAGAAGAAGCAACAACTGTTCCAGTTAGGACTGAACATGTGTTCAGCCATGTGTTCAGCTCATGTGTTCGCATATCACATAGGTCTCACTTTCAGCTAATTGCTCCTGTTGTTTCTGACGAGAACCAGTCAGCAAAGACTGTGGCTTTGGAATGTCAAAAATAGCTTATTTCTGGAACACATTTGCAGATACGTTTCCAATGCTTGATCTTATTCCATTTGAAGAACTTGGAGTATGAGGGAGGGAGGCAGGGAAGGAAATGTCTGAGAAATTGAGAACTGTTAGAAGCAAACTTGTACTGGGTCTGTCAAAATTTCAATTATAAAGAGAATAAGATAACATGGAATTGGTTGGAAGTGATGGAAAGCCAAGCAAGTTACCGAAGTCTACAGATCTCTCCTTTGCCTGAGGGCGAAGGAACTACAGGAGAGTTGAGAAATAGTCGGAACACTCTGCAATTCAAGTGAGAAGCTGTCTTAATATTAATTGGATGTGGCACTTTGAAGCTTAAGATGGAACCATCAGGGAGTGGAAGGAGGAAGACAATAGGAACTCGTACTCCCACAGCTACAGGATAAATGCCAGGTCTTCTTTGGTGCAAGGAATGAAAGCAGACTTTAAGGGTTTTATACATACAAAATGATCATTTCTCTCCCCACCCCCAGCCAGCACTGTAAACCCCAAACCTAATTCAGCTATGATAGACAGCAGTGGGAAACCTCTGGGACATGAAATAGATTTACCGGTTGGTATTTGGTATCCAGTTATATGCTTTACCTGAGAACTGGAGGACTTGGCTACAATTAAGGTTTTGGGCAGAAGAATGTATTTTGATACAGACCATGCTTAAAAGGGAAGTGATTTTCCATGTTAATAGGCTGTCACAGAGATCTTGTGACTTAAGCACAGTATTTTACCTTTTGGTTCTAATAATGACATCTTCAGAAAAAACACATTAATTTTAATAGTAGCCACTCAGCAGAAGTAGGCAAGACTAGAATTATGCATGACAACTAACTGCCTTAGTATATAATATAATATAATAGATCCTAAGTGTGAGGAATACCAAACTTCTTTATTATGTATTGAAATGAAGGTAATTAAAGCCAGGTAATTATGCCCACTGCATAATCCAAGTATCTAAGTATCTTAAGTACCTAAAAAGTAATATTTCTAAATATCCTTAGAAACTTTTGCTTTGAAGGCATCTGGGACTCACCAGATGAATTATTTTCAGCTTTTCTATATATTGTGCAAGATGCAAGCAGGGGAAAAAAGCATCACTGAGCCTCCAACCCATAAATGGTCCAGAAAAATGCAGTAGTTTATTGCATTAAAAACCTGATAAATGTTGGCATATTATCAGGGTTTCACTCCACCTTCTTCCTTCCAAGAGAGGTGATCCATAAAGACAACTCAGACTGTTTAGTGCCTGGATTGACATGGATCTAGAAAAAACATTTAATCCAGCACTGAACTGGCGCTTTGCTCGCAAAGGATACATTTGCCTTATCTTGTTATACTGTAAATAGTTATAGTAGTTCACCTGGATATTTTATCCAAGTAGCCAGCTTCCTTGCAGTACGCTTCTGTTAGGATCATGGCGTGGTGGGTTTATCTTTAAGCTAGCCAAATTGGGAGAAGGGCTGTCATTTAAGTGCTTCCTGATTTGGCATTTCTAAGCTAGCATTGTTGATCAGTGAACCCTAGAATCACTCTTGTCAATTCACTACACTTCCACCAATTTCCACGCACACTGAAGGCCCTGCCCACCAGGCTAGAACTGCCAGCAAAATGGCCAGATGAAGGTATTTGATTCTTCCCTTCCCCCTGAGCACTGAGGGGTGAGTTGTAGCAGTGCTATTGTAGAACTGGATCCTGCAATAAGTTTAGAATGGCTAATTAGCTTGGAATTCTTCACCCTAAGTAAATCTTACTTGTGTAAGCAACACAAGTAAGTTTGAACCAACAGAAGAGGTTGTCTTGAAATAACTGACCCTGATTCTTACAGAGGGATTCAGTGCTGGAAAAAACAAAAACAAAACAAGCGTATGAAATGGGCAGGTTAACATTTGTCTCTCCTGTGCTGCAGATCACTGAAAGATGATTAAACCACGTATTTTGTTTATTTCTGTAGAAGAACACAGTGAAGTGCTTCAGAACGAAGACATTGGCCACAAAGAGGGGGACCCGACTACTGTATCCACTGATAATGTGGTAGGTGTGCTCCCTGGAATGTAGCAGCTTTATTAAATCCAGTTCATATGATGGAGTGATGCATAAAAGGTCACAGACAGTCACACAAATGGCTTCTGGTGGAGCCTGCTTGGAATGCTGTTGTGGAAATGTCGAAATTGTACTGAGCATGGAATTCTGCATCTTGGAAATCTTTAACTTCACTTTTGAAGCAGTTTTCTTAGTCCTATGATTGGGAAGATGTATTTAATTTCAAAAATGAAATTTACCCTTTGCTTTTTCAGAAAATAGAAATTATAGATGATGAAGAAAGTGATATGATAAGTAATTCTGAAGTGGATCAAATGAGTTCTCTTCTGGATTATAAGGTAAGGAACTTAGATTTGTTTTTAGGAAGAAGGTGATCAATCAACTCCAGACCAAAATATTGGCTCCTTTCAAGCAATCAGATTAGGAATATGGAACATGGTAGTGTTAGTCCAAGTCATCAAGCAGTGTAGCAGTGAAGTTTCAGTTCACTGCAAAAGACATTCTGGCTTTTTAGGAGTGTTGTGTTGAGAGCTGCTGATTCCTTTGCTCTGCAGGTCTCTACCTTGCAGAAATATGAAATGCTGTCATTCTGACAGGCTGGCTGTTGCACCAGGTCCTGTCCTCCTGCCTTCCACAGTCCATTTTAGACATAGTTTTATAAATACCCCTCCCACGTTTTCCTTCCATAAGTAAGCAAAGATTACATTCATTACATTGCATTTTCATTATGTTTTAATACATGCTGATTTCTTTGAGGGCAGATGGATTGTGCCAATTTCATCAGTTTGTGGATTACAGTCTAATATTTGCTTTTGATGCAGTGTAAGCAAAGGCAGTTGGAAACTGTAACGACAGCTGGTTTTTGCCAAAATTGCAAAGGATACATGTGTACATAAGAATTGGTGGATGGTTCCATTTTGATTCGGGCACCCTCAGTCCAATTTGGTTAGTATTAGAATCAAAGATATATTTTGTACAAGAACCTCAGCTAGATTTGAACTGTGTGGAGCCTCTTTAAAAGCACACAATGGATGTATAATTGAGGTCCACACATTAATTTCCTGAGTTCTGCCTTCAGGATAAGGGCAGCACTGAATGAATAGCGATATGAGAGGAAGGGGAGAAGTGACCTTTTCTTAATGTCACTTGTCACCAAACTGAATGACTTGTTGTGGCAGTGTGTCCTACAGAACCCCATTTGTTTTCTTTATTACCCTTTGACATAAACTGTTAGTCTTCCTAATATACTGTCCCTGCATAAATATGCATATTTGGTTAGACTGTGTTCAGGCTCTATAGGTGACCCACAAGCTCTTACAAAACCTGGTAAGCATTTTAAAAATGTGTTGATTTTATTCCAGTTCTTAAAGAAGTGGAGAGAGTGCCTTTTTTTAAATAAGGAAAGGCATTAACAACAGATATTCTGCTTGGATTGAGAAAACTAAGTTCAGATGTAAAATATCTGGGTTTGCAAGAACCAAACTGTTAAGCCAAAACAGTCCGCAGGATGTAAATCTAAGAAGACTTGCTTGTCCTAGTGCAAGGCGTCCGGAGGTTGAGATTATTAGGGGAGACAGTAAATCCTGTTTGTTGTTACTCTTGCCAGAAAAAGTCTTTGCCACAGACTCCACATTATTCTTCACTCAGCACTTAATGAAATGGAATTCACCACTGCAGCGATGGCTTTGAATGGGCACAGGATGGTTTTGTAAAGGCTGGATCTATTGGCAACTACTAGTTAGGATGTCTGGTTGGAACTTAGAAGCAGGGGGCCACTTAATATCACTTTCTGGAGGCAGCAAGAAGAGGGGAAAGTAGCAGGGGAGCTGGTGGCAGGGGCAGCTGTTCATTCATTTATTTATTTCATTGTTAACTTTTGTTAACTGCCCAGAAAGCCTCCGCTATTGGGCAGCATAGAAATGAAATAAATAAATACATACCAATGGAAGGAGATCACAGAGCCGGTTGGAACACTTCATTTGAATACTAAGTTAATGTTTCATAAGAAGTGAGTATATGTTGCTTTTTATCTGTTTAGTGCTTAATTTAATTTTATAGTTTAATTTTTATTTGCTGTTTGTCACTCTGCAAATATTTTTTATGGAGTGACTCATCAGCATAATTAAGTAAATAAATTTGTATGTTGTTCCATCTATTAAAAGTTTTATAGTGCAATTCTGTCCCTAGGAGTTTACCTATCATTAGTCCCATTTTTGGAGTACTTTCATATATATTCTCCAAGTATGGAACTCGGTTCAGGTCTCACCACATACCCAGCTGTAGTCTTCTTGATTTAAAAAGAAGAAAATAGTGATGCAAATGGTTAAGCTAATTATTCTGAAATGCTAAATATAGTTTATTACTATTTCTCTGCTTTTAGAATGAGGAAGTAAGGTTAATTGAAAATGAACTGGAGCATCAGAAACAGAAATATTTCGAACTGCAGGCTTTCACTCGGAGTTTGATCCTTGCCATCAAAACGGATGATAAAGAACAGCAGCAGGTAGGACCAAGCAAAGAAAAAAAACACAGAGGACTTTACGCCTGTCCCCCATTCCCCCCCCGCCCCCCCCGGTCACTTTTCAAGATTCAGAGGCTCTGATTCATTAACAAGGGAAGCTCCAGTGTCCATGTAATGCTGCCGTGAGTTCCCTGTTCACTTCAGCTGTCAGACCTAGCGATGCACGTACAGAGCTGGTGCTGCCACTGGACTGAATGGGAAGGAACCTCGGCCAGAACAGAACACAGGGCGCTTCTCAGGCTCGTTGAGATGTGCTGCACATGGGGACTGACTGGGTTGGAATAGGTCTCGCCCTTGACGGTTCCGCAGGCGTTCTTTCTGTCGCTCAGGCTCAGCATCGGTTTTGCCCCTGACATGGCCCCGTCCCACTTGACGTTTCTGCAGTATGGACCTTCTGCAGCACGATCACCTTCCCCAGCCTTTCTGTGTGTCCCAGGCGGGTAGCTTAAAAAGGGAATAGTAGGCATGAAGTTAGTTGTGTGAGCCTTACAGCTGAACATCAGACCAATATTTGGATAACAGATCTCCATCTATAAGGGATTCTTGTTTTTATGCAGCCTGATCTTCTCTATATTTGCTTGGAGATAAATTCCATCCATTTCAGTAGCACCTACTTCCAAGTGTGTAATTACTGTGCAACACCTAATTGTTAAGGTGCTTTAATCAGTTTATACCCTATCTTTCTTAGGGTATAAACTGTAAGGCATGTCATGAGCGGAGCCGGCTGGAGCCGGGGGTCAGACTAGATGGCCCGGGAGACCCCTTCTGACTGGCTCTGTTTCTGTGTTTCGAAGTTCAGGGAAGCTTACCTCAACCCAATCTTACCCGGTCAGGTAACTTTGCTATGTGTTAGAGAATGGTGCGGCCAGTGTGTTGGGAACCGGACTGGGGAAGCTTGCTTGCTTGCTTGCTAAAGACAACAAGTGGAACCTGCAACAGAATGTTTCACTACAGACTTCAGGCTTTGGCATTCTTTGGTCATGGACTGTATCGATCCATCTAAAGGGGGTATTATTCCTTAAAATACCTCATCCTCACGTGTGAATTACATCACCACAGAGGACCTTTGCAAAGGATGTTGTGGAGATGGAAAACAATATCCAGAGGAAGTGGATGAAACATTTTTCATCCTCCTAATACCAGGACCTGAGGTCATCTCACGAAGGAGGTTGATGGAAGGTTCAGGACAGATAAATGGGCATTTCTCACACAACAGCACACAGTTTAACTATGGAGTTTACTTCCACAAGATGGAGTGATGACCACATGTCGGGACGCCTTCAGAGGGGGACAGAGGCACTGGCCATCACTGGTACTCTTCCCACTGGCTGAGTGCTGCTGCCAATAGCAGAGGCAGTTGCTGAGGGACACAGGTGCTTCTGCAGTCATGTCAGGCTTGGGGGTGTCCTGAGGACTGCTGATTGGCTGCTGTGTGAACAGACTGCTGGATAGGATGGATCCAGCATGGCTCTTTTCTGATCTTAACTGTAGCCCATCAGAGTTTATAGCAACTTGTGACTTATTTGTATATTCTCTCTCACTCAGGCCCTCCTAGCAGATTTGCCTCCAGAGTTGGAAGAGATGGATTTCAATCATGTGTCCCCAGAACCTGATGATACCTCATTCAGCTTGTCATCTTCATCAGAGAAAAATGCCTTGGACAGCTTGTGATCTTCTGTCAAAAGAAACGCAACACAACATAGTTTGGCAAATATGTATGTGTCAAACTAATTACATTTTGTTAGCCAGTACCCTTAACTATGAAGGGGAGACATTGGGGTGGAAAGGCAGGTTGGCAACCTTCTGTAATGGGTGTGGTTGATGTAGTTGCAAATTCCAAATTTTGTTTTTAACAAATGTGAAAGCTACTTGAGAAAAAAAGACTTTTATTCTTTTAGCAGGTATGCCTTGATAATGGTACCTTTATACTAACCTGTGTTTAATAACAAAACCCTGATCTCAGTGGGGCACCAAGAAGGGAAGAACAGTAGCCAGTTATGTTAATAATTTAACAATATATTCCTCATTTAGCCCACTAGTCCTGTTCATTCTGATGTTTTGCTTTCTCTTGTTCTTGCCCCCTTTTCAGGTAGGTGGACTCATCACTGGAAATTATGAGTTTCAGTATATCAATAGGTAAAAGTTGGGCCTTCGCTAAAAATGATGGTAATTTTTATCTGTACATAACAACAAATCTTTGTGACTTCTCTTGTTTTCATCCTTACCCAATGCCTGGAAAATTATCGGAAAAATAAACCTATTTAACGTAATTAGCTCCAATAAATTATATTTTCTATTGCAGCAGATGGAAATTCTGAATGAAAATAGTAGGCTCTTATTAAAAATTACCATTTGTTCATAAAAGTGACAATTTCCAACAGTGCAGGGACTTAATGTAGTGTCTCCCATTAAAGTATCCTGGGGATACATGGCAATAGCTAAAAGAAAGCCACAAAGATGCATTGCATACACAGATCCAAAGGCTGTATGGAGTCTTACCGCTTATTTATGAGCTGTTTGTCCTTAAGTAAGCCTTGCCTGAATGCTGCTTTGAACTATAGCTTTGTAATCGCCACTTTAAAACAGGGCTTTTGATAGAAAGAACAGAGCTAGGGAAACTGATGTGCAAGACCTGGCTGCAAGAAGCCTTAATGAAAGATGTTCCCCAAATAATTGCAGAATTTTAATTTGCAAAACTCTTTGACATGATTAGGATAGATTAAATAAATGAATTGGCTCTGGCTGGCAGTCCCAACTCAAGTCACTTTATTCAGCTTGCTAGGCAATTTGAAGCCCATGCAGAACTGAGTTCAGTGACAATTAGAGGTACATCAGAGGAATGAGTCTTGAGAGCTCCACTGCATAGATGGCCCATTTTCCTCCCTTTCAACCATTGTGGAGGACTGACTTTGATTTGATCTTAATCATTTTCAGAATTTTGATCAACAGTTACATATGCTGTATCTTTTATCAGATATTGGAACAGATTAATTTGGCTTGGAATTTAATTTCTCCTATGAAAATATAAGGGAAAAAAGAGTTGTTGCCAAATACAACAACAAGGCCGAACTTTTTCTCCTCTGGAAATGGAGCTGTTAGTAACCAAAACTTTTGTGGAAAGAATACTGTCATCCTACCCTTAAAGCAACCTTGCACGGTGCACATCAGATTAACTTTTGTATCTTCCTTACTCTGTTCATTGCCATACATCTGTTATTTCCTCACTTTTTTACCTTATCTGTCTGCTTTCTTTCTAACTGCCCATCCTAGATTGAAAGGTTCAGGGGAGGCAGCTCTGGTAGAAATAAAACCTAAGATAAATGTAGCAGGCAAGATGGAAGAGGTGTTGCAACGTGATTATTTTGAATTCTCATCCAAGGGCAATAATTGCTAACTGTACCTCTGTATGGAAGTTTTGATCTACTTAACTACACACACAGATATGATACTTAGCACTAAAAGGGGTTTTAAAAAGGATTCCTCCTTTTGAGCGATCAAAATTCTGTGCCAAGGAAGGCTATATTTTGACCATTGTGAGAACATCAGAGGAGAAATAATGACTGTCATTTTTTCCATTTTCTAGTTTGCCTCATTCTGTGGAGGGACAAGAAATTATATAGGATAATGATCCCCCCTTTCCCCCCCCACCCTAGAAAATCCACCTAGCCCTCTTATCTCTGAAATTTCAGCAGCCACTGCCCATAAACCTTTTATAGCATACCTTTCCAGCAGTGAGGGGCTAGATACCTACTAAAATAATAATAAACATGAAGATTCTCAGGATGTTGAATTCTATGCCCATTTACCATGTTTTGGAGGTTTTCTGCACTCCCATGGAATTACGGCATGTGAGGTATAAAAGCAGACCTTGAAAATGGTGTGTTCGGGAAGAGCTTGAGGCGGATGAGTTTTTATCTGGAGTGACAAGGGCAGGAAAGGCTAAGGCAGTGGGCGGAACTGGTGGAGGAGAGGGTCATTTGGGCTACAGTTGGAGATAATTGGGCAGCAGGAGATAATTGGAGTGTGCAGGGAGCTGGAGAGGAAAGATTTCCAGGCCTTCAGAGCTTCTTCCTCTTTCTGGCCCTTGTTCTCTGCAACTGCTGTACTCCATCTGTAGCACACCTTGTAAGCATCATATGATGCTTCAGTCCTTACAACTAGCGTAGAATTGGGTCATTTGGATTGTCTGGCATGTCATAGCGCTGGCGGTGAGAGGGGCGACAGGGCAGAACATAGATCTGAATCTCCCGGTAGGGCTTTGGATGATGCCCAGTAGATGGGCAAGAATTTCTGACTCCCACCTTACCTGCCTGCTTTCCTTCTAACTGCTTTCTTTTTAACTATAGCAACAATAAAGTGACCATTTTAACCCAAAGTAGGTGGATGAAATGAAGAAAGCTTGGAGAATTCCCATAATGGACATGTTCTAGAACTGAAAACATGTTTCTAGTCTCAGAATGTGCTTAGAAGTAACCTGTTCTTTAATTCTTTTGCCCTTGGATTCAGTTGATGGAGTTTATGGTTCTAGGAAATAATCTGACTTGCTCTGTTTCTATGTTTCTAAAATAGTTCTGAAGTCTGCCCAGAGTAAAAAGATACAAATTGAAACAGCTTGAAATGTATCTTGATGCTGAAAACATTTTATTGCAGCTACTGTTTCAGTTTGACTGTCTGCTTAAGCAAATAGATGACTTAGTATGGCCACTTGTGTGGCAAAGCAGGTGTGTCTGTGAAAAACAAGACATTGCTAACAATGAAACCAGAAGTTTAACTGTCGCTCATGCAAGTGCCCAGATTTCCAAGCTGACTTCTTACTTCTCTACTGACTTTCAAACTGAAGCCACTTAGAAGTAAATTGAATTATTTTCCTCATTTATTTATATAATACTTCTGTTGTGCCATAGAACCGTATTCATTCTCTTGGCAACTTTGCCAATAAGTCATTTATTCTGATTTTACAGGTATGGCTTAGCCAATGAGCCAGTGGGCTCAGGTGGGCATTTCATATAGCTCTGCGAAGCACAGATCTAACGTTCTGCTGAGGACGTGGCTGGCTGTGAGTTGTAAAGGGGCATCAACACAGAGCATTACTTGACGTGAACCCTAGCGTTTATTTATTTATTAAATATATTTAAATATTTTCTATACTGCCCGTCTATACTCCAGGCAGTCTACAGTAAAATAACAGAACATAGTGTGTGCTTGGAATGGCTAACTGTTGCTCACTAGAGTGCCCATTTCGCCATTTAGCCAGAACTTGCAATACTGACCCACATCTCCTGTGTGAGTATTCTCTTTCCCTTGTCTAGCTTTTCTCTCTCAGGTGACTAGACTTAAGGGGTGGTCAGAGCTCTTGTGTCTATTACAGTGGCATCAAACAGGGAATGTTGTTGGAATCAACTTGTTGTGGTTCAGAATTTTTTTTGCTGCTGAGTTTCCCTTTTCTATGCAGTTACTATCAGTTTAGGAGTCCTCTGCTTTTTACCTCTGTTAACCCCCCCCCCCCCGCCTTCTCTATTCTGCTTTTTAAAAACAAAAATACAATTATGGCAGTGTTACTGTTGCAACACACTCCGGGATCCTGATTTGCCAGTTGGTTTTACAGTAAGACGTGCAATTGAGTCAAAGACCTTTCCAGATTCATAATGTCTGCCCTCTACATGGTATTAATGACTTTGCAACACTGACCAAAATATGTAACCGAGGGAGGTGGAGGCAAAACTATCAGAATCTTTGTATTCTTCTGCAGGATAGTCTCCAGAGTTCCGTTCACTGGAGAACCTTCTTCCCCCATGAATTCATGTCAACCTCAGATGGGATATCAAATTAAATACTGCTTTGTTTGAAAGATAGTGTGAACAAAACAACAAATCTTGTTCATTTGTTTAATGCTTCCTGGTTCTATCTAGAATACGATTCTTTTGCTGGATTGCTTAATTTACCCAACACTACAAAAAAGCCACAACGTTTTTACATGCTACCTCTAAAAGATGACATCACCTTAGATGCCACACCAGACTATAATGTGACTTTCACACCTGTAGGCAATAAATAGTTTCCAACAAATGGATGCATTTTCATTCAGGGTTTTTGCCATTGCCTAGTGAAAAATAGTGTTAGTGCATATTGGTGGGTGGGATTGCATTTATTTTTGTTATTCTAATATTAACACATTGGACAGATGACTTATAGAATAGGCAGGCCTCTGTGTGTGTGTGCGTGTGCGTGTGTGTGAGAGAGCACTTTTATGACATTAACATATTCCTATATTTGTTTAAAAAAAAGAGGCACAACTTCCTGGGAACGTTTCCTCCAAGTTTATCTTTAAATGGATGAGAAATGTAGAAGTTCCTTAGAGGATTCTACCTTAAATCTAAAATGGATGTGATTGTAGCTGTAGGTCCTCACTCCTCATTTCCTACCCCACAGAGTTTTTCTCATGGAGTAGCTGTTGCAATACATACTGCAATACATTAATTTCATGCTAGAAGATGCTAAACACTGGCCCTGTTCCAGAGTTGCTTTCGTCCATGGACCAAACTTGGGTCCACTATTGGTGGGGTCCAGCTGTTCTGCTTGCATTTCCAACTTGTGGCTCCCAGCTAGACAGGCGAGTTAGTTAGGAAATAAAAAATAACATATTCTCCTTTAGTCACCTCTTGCTGTTTTGAAGGGCACAAAGGAATGTTTTAAGATGAAGAGTCTTTCCCGAATGTTAACCCTCTCTTTTCTGGCCCTCACAATAGACTCTACCTACCTCTTTGGACCAACCTGGCCATGCCTAATCAACATTCCTGTGAATCATTGTTAAAAAAGAAGAGCATCACTATTTAAAAATCCAAGATAGTTCTTCAGAAATTAACTGAGATTACATGTACATGCAACCTTTTTTCCCTGCTACTTCAGTGGATGATTTGGAACTTCATTTGCTGTCAGAGATAGCATGCATGATATCAAAATAACAGGTTTGAAAACTCAAACTGAACATGTAATTTGGTATACAGGAAAAGGTATTAGCATTTTAAAAGGTTCTTTTAGTTCCTAGGCAATTTTCCCCAGGATAAAATTCACTGACATGGAATAGTTGTCAGCGGTAGTGAATTAGTTTTCTTTCCCTAGAACATTTGGGTACAGGAATTAGATCAGATGTTTAAAAAGAGGACACATGTGTTGAACAAAGCGGTGTTAGTTTCTGAGTAAGAAAGGGAATAAGACTTTCTCTCCAACTGAAGTGGCATGCAGTGGCTTAATCTGGAATATTAGGTGGCTGGAGTCAGGCGTGCAAACTGTGACCCCATATCTTTGAAATGCCAGGTACAATTCAGAGAAAGTTAGGTATGCATCAGTCCTGTTGATATTGGGGGAGTTATCAAGATGCCCATTTTTAAGACCTGTTGATTTCAGTGGGCATCAGACAATGCAAAGGTAGTTCAGGTTGTACCAGGAAAAGTACTGGTGATTTGGATTGGTTTTAGAAGAAAACAGTTCAGTCACTCTTGCATCCAACACCTATTCAACTATTACGTTAAGACAGTAACATGGTATTTCAAGCATTTGTATCTACTAAAGGTATAGGAAAATGTACAGTTGCAGATAACCTTCCTGTATCTCTGGCATAGTGCTGGGAATCTTGCTAGCTGGACAGATGTTGAGTAAACATCTGTGCAAGTAGAGAAGTTTGCTCCTTTCTCTCATATGCACAACACAGAGGACAAATGTTTTTGAAAAACTGGAGGAGTACTAGTAAGAACTGCAGTGAACCTCCCAGCTGCTGAAAATACTTTTGATGGCATAAGGAAATGAGAAGGGAATAGAAGGAGTTGCAACAGAGCTCTGTTGCATTAGTTTGTCCTTTCAGTTTCTTACATTACTGTCATTCCCTTCTGCTCCCAAAAGATGAACCATCCACTGTTGTGCACAAGAAAAAAACCCAGGAGAAAACAACTAAAATTTGTTTTAATTCTTTTCGAGTCACTGAATATTCAAATGCAAACGTTTTCATATTCTTCCTGCCCTTCCAGCTCCACAGTATCCATTATTTTCTGAATGATTTCCCAGCAGTAAGCCCAGTTTAAAACACAAACCAGAATAAAACATGAACCACACCTTATAACTGATAATCATGGATCATCTTCCACTGTTCAGTGTTAAGCTGCTAGATGTATGTTGGCAACTTCAGAGATGACCCTGACATTTACGTGACCAGTGCAATCTCAGCAAGCAAGCTACCTTTGCATAGCACCCCAATTCTTTTGCCATATTACACTTGACGACAATTTTTATGGAAAGCTTCTGAAAGTTTTAAGTATTTTGTAGTTTTGTTTTTTAATATATACTGGTATTCTGTTAAAATGTGCCAACAAAGTCAAGGTAATTAATGTCCATTTGGCCAGTTTGGACAAGGTTTGTAAATTTAGTGTGACTTTAAAACTGATTTCCTCTGTGAAACTCAGTATTTATATTGCATTTTTATGACATGTAAATGATATGTGTAGCAAGAAAACTATGACTGATATTTAACTTGAGTACCTCCACTGTAACCCAGGATATATGATCTTGGTTTATTGGATAGATGAATTCCATCCATTTGTATTGATCTTGTTTCTGTGTATATATAAGGATATTTATAATCTTGTATTAACAAAATCCATCACACACAGAAAAGGTTGTTTCCTTCATTAGAAGCCTGCTCAGCTATTTTTATATAAAATTGGTCTCTGCCTTAACTTTTTTTGTGAAAATTTGTGCCATAAATTTTTTAAAAATATCAAGGAATAGCTTACTAAGCTTGATTGGGTTCACATTTTAAAGTAAAATATGAATACTGGATTTGGGTTATTGAATAGTTTCAAAGTCACCTATTTTATTACACAGTGTTCTTCACATGTATCCATCCTATATAGCTACTTCATCTATTTTCTTACTGTGTTCTCTCCTTTTTGTAGGCTTTATTTTTTGCATCCACACTAAAATTCACATGCTTAGTAATTCCAAGAATTATTACTGCTTTGTTTGTTTGTTTGTTTGTTTGTTTGTTTCCTTAGTTTACCAGATATAGTTTAGCAAAACCTTAATAAATTGAGTTGTTTGTTACAAAGCTATCTGTTAAGTCGAATTGGTAAGAGTAAAGGGCTAACTACCTTTGCTAACTTTGTCTATTACACTCAAGGATATTTTTCTACATCTACTAGATCTCTAAGACTGAAGAAATTCAATAAAGGCTAAGTGATTTGTTTTCCTACATGAAGTTTCTGTATTAATGACCATTGGCTTGTAAGAGTTCACTATTAAGCTAAATGTAGGCTTCACATCCTTGAAATTCCTAATAGTAGTAGTAATAAATGACTGATGGAGATGATTATTGTTGATTATCTTCGTATACTGCACTTCAGTTGGGGAACTGTTCTGTGCAACAGTTGTCCTGGTTATTTTCCCCCTATATCCCCACTCTTACTTGTCTCTATAGTTTCTGGGCTGCTCACCTGGTGCTCAGAACCAGAATGCTCACCTCAGTATTCACAGGATTGCTCCCAGGCCTTGCTGGAGCTCTCACCCTCGTGAGGAGGGCCAGCTGGAAGCCCTGCGGGAGGAGCTGCAGAAGAGCAGGCTCTTCCCTCTAGAACTGTCTCGGCAACACAGGTCTGCATCTCGCCTGACCCAGATCATGCCGCGTTGTCTCAGTTCAGCAGTGCAGATCTTGCTAGCTGGGGTGTGTTTTGGTTCTAGTGCCTTGCCTGACCCTTGCCGCATCGGGACCCTTGCCGTGCATCCTGTCTGGCCTCTGCAATGCAGGTCTTCTTTGAGTTGTAGCTCAGCTCCTGCATCTTGCCACGTATCTTGCCTTGTTGTATATCCTGCCTCAGTCATCCCATCCTGCGCCTCCGTTGGTTTCCCTGGTTGTCAACCCTTAGCTTGCCCATGTCCATGTCTTGCTCTGTTACACACGTCTGCTTCTTCACCTTGGGCTGTTCTGTGACAGTGGCTTGACCTTGCTTTTGGACTTTGCTCTCGGTCTTGCCTCAAGTTCTGTCGCCTGGTCCCAGTGCTTCGGTGTCAGTGCCATCCACTTCCCAGGTGCTGACACCAGACTGCTAAGAGTCTTGGCCTCATTCTTGGTGGGATGATTTATGATTGCTAAGCATTCAGATATGAGCTGTCTACAAATGGCCTCTTGCAATCCTCCTACCATATTTCTAGGCTGAGAACCTGGGAGAACAATTTGACTGAATTTCTCCAGGAACAGGAGAAACTCTCAAAATGTATCTCACAGACAGAGCTTACCATTGGCAGTGGCTGGAGCCTTCGTGGCCTCTGCATCACACATAGGGAGCTCTGCCAAGCTCTGCCCTGCGTGGGGCCTTTTGGCAGGAAGATTTTCAAACTAGACTCATTCTGGTGGGAACTTCTGGCCCCCTGGAGTCTCCAGGAGAGGTTCCTGCCCTTTCCCCCAGTTCTCTTCCAGCCACCATTGTGGGTGCTTCAGGGCTTTGCTCTTTGATGTTTGACTTTGACTCATTCTCCTTCATGCTCTCTAGGTTTTGCTTTGCTATATCCTTATTGCATATCTACTTTTACCCTAACTTACATCTTTAACAAAAGAAAAAACCCTCTCTGATCATCTCTCCGCAAAACATGACCTCCATTTCTCTAGCTACTTTCTTTTCTTCCTGATGGCACTCAGGGAGCCATTTTGGAAGTGTGTTCGCGATGGGCGCTGGCTTCCTCCTGTGGAGGGACATTCATTGTGCCTCTTCTGTCTCAGAGAGGAACACCTCGTGGAAGTCTGCCCATATTGGCAGGCTGTCACGAATAGGCCCAGAAGAACCAAACTGGGCATCTCAGGGCTGAGCGGTGGAGCCATGCTGTTCCGGCTGCTGATTTGACCTCGGCAGCACCATCACTCCGCCATCTGCCACCAGAGCTGTTCTGACTTCATGTCTGACATCCATGGTGCCACAATTTTGACACAGCTGGTTATGGAGAAGGAGATCCGAGACGTGCCAGTCCACACTCTGGCACAACCTCCTCCAATGGTTTCTCCAACTAGGAGTATTCTCTGCACACTGGGACCACCAGCAGTGCTGCCATCTCCTTGCCCAGCTTCACTGTTTCACCTAATCCAAGGCATTGTTCTGCTGGCCTTCTTCCCAAAACCACTGATTCCGCAGAGCCCTCCATGTGCACCTTGCACATTCACGGGCGACTGTGCTCTCCGAGTTCTGTACTGAATCCTGCTGGTCTCGGAAGCCGCTGATTTGCTTGTTACAGTGAAAGGACCAAGGTGGGTGAGTCAGTTGGCCCCAGTGACTTGCACAGTGGGTGGTTCAAGGCCATCAAGCTGACCTGCCCGCTGCCTGGACTGCAGCTTCCTGAGTGGCCCGAGTGCACCCTGCCAGGGCACCGCTGACCTCTGCAGCACTGCATGCAGACCTCTCTCAGGACCTCTGCAGAGGAGCAACATACTCTGCCCCACCAGCAGCACCACCCTGGTGCCCTTGCCAGGTAAGACTGCTCCTCTGGCACAGCAGTCCTGCCTGTGGTCCTCTGCTCCCAGCACCTGCCCACCTCCAACTCAAGGTAAGCTAGCTAGGCACCCATATATGTGTGGTGCACAGAGACCACGCTGGGTTGCTTCTCTGTAATTCTTTGAGTGATCCGCTGTGCACCAGCCCACCCACTGGCCCCGTCTCAGTGCCAGGCAGCTTTGGTACCATGCCTTCCCTGTGGTCCTCTATCCAGATGGAATAGATTGGGCATTCACCACCTCCCGCCGGTCTTGAAGGAACTGGAGAAGGGAAAAGGGCAGGAACCTCTCCTAGACATACCAGAGGATGGGAAGTGAGGGGTTCCCACCAGAACAAGGTTAGCTTGGAAAGTATCCCAACCACAGGCAGATACGTGTGAATGCACAGATGACCACTCAACAACAGTCACAGGTAAGCAACCTAACTGGCTTTTTTCCTAAAGGAGTTGGGCTTTTGTTCTGCAAGAGCTTCTACTGTGTTGGCAGGATTGCCCCCAATTTGCATCCTCCACAAGACCGGTGCGAATGGAGGAGAGTGTGCTGAGTGGGCCAGGCATTCGCTCTTTGTGGACTTTCAAGGGCCTGCATTACCAGACTCTGTAGAGGCAGAGGAGGTGGCGATGCGAAGGCAGGAGGATCAAAGGGGGCGGAAGTCTTAAGCTCCGTCAAGATTGCTGCCCCCAATTTCCCAGGCCAACTGTGAGAACAGACATGTTTTGGAAGGGGGAATGATGGGGGGATGCCTGCTCATGACGGCCTTCCTCTGCCATCTCAGAACGCATGTCCTCCATTTCCCCAGTTCTGAGAGACCACCCACAGTGGGCAGCAGCTGTAGCTGAAGGCAACCCTGGTGGAGGATCTCCCACAGACAACAAGTGATGCTTAAGCCAACTCTGGTTAGTACTCTGCAGTAGAAGGTAATACAAGCAGTCCCCGGGTTATGTAACGAGCTCCTGATGCGAACATGAATGAATACACAGCGGACACACTTTTGGAATGGAGGGCCATGCACAGGCAGAAAGTATGACAGAATGAATGAATGAATGCAAACCTCAGCAGTTCTCCAGAAGAAACACTGAATGAACAGCAGTCTCCACATCTTGCATAATTTTAACTGGGGGGGGGGGGGTCTCCCTGGACACATGTAACATAGTATTCCCCCAAGGTGAACCTCTTCTAATAGGCTCAGAGTTCCTGTCCCTTTAATCAGTTCAATCCTGCCTTTTTAGCACATTGCAGAGATAAACCAAGAAGAATGAGAACTGTAGTAGGTCAAATTAGCCATCCCAACAAACCACCCACGAAACTCAAAGACAGTGTAAACTGGGAAGCTTGCATAACTTGGGAGATCGTTTGCAAGTCCTAGATTGCTTTCAGCTGAACAACAAAAGGTTACATCCAGTCAATTGTGGGTAGGGAAGCTTTGAAAATTAAAACTCGGATAAGATCCCTGTTAAAGCACATGCCTGCTTTTCTTTGAAAATTCTTTTTCCTTGTCTCATCAGACCAAGGAAAAAGATGTCTTTCAAGTATATCTGGATCTTTGCCAGATGTAGCTGCTAATGAAAGTCCTACAAGGAGCTGTTCCCACTGCCACTCTCCATCTTCACAAGCTGTTAATTAGCTGCATCATCAGTGGGGCAAATCAGAAAAGCCTGGATTGAAATCAGTAGTGCGGTGTGAGGCTCCCAATATTGATGGAACTATTAGCAGCTCACCAAAGCACCTGCATACAAACAGAGGTGGCTTTAAAAATCACAGACACAGCTGGTTAGGACTGTTTGATTTCACAGTGATGGAGGAAATGTGGATGGGTGAGGACGAGACACTTAATGGCTGGTGGACTTCTGGTTCTCTTTCTAGAATGACTGCAGGGTCAATGTGTGAGTCCCCCATGGGTTGGGGTTTTTAGCTGCTGTTGCTTAATCCTGCGGCTGAACCCCTCGGGCTATTTCATGTGGAGAATCCATTTGTGAATAATGTAACTGTGCCCTTTGGACACAGCAGTTTTTATGTAAAGGTTGGGCTTTCCTTTGGAGTGTGTGAACTGAAATTGGAGGGTTTTAAGAGAGAATTTCAAAAAAGAAATGGAAAACCACAAATCCTGTATCAAGGAACTAAAATTCCATTTTCAGGGGGGTGGTTTGTTTCTCTCTGTTTTAAGTTTAGTTACATTTTTATCATTATTACCTGCCTTATCTGATTTCATTTTATTATGGCATTTATTTGATTTGGTTGTGGAATTATTTTGGTGTCAGCTGCATTAGACCATGTTAAATGAAGCAGGGTTTTAAAGTAACAAATGTATTAATATTAATGTACTAGTATGATGGATTTTCAAATTCTTACCTGAATTTCAGTCTGGGCAGCACCCTTAATTTCCAGAAGCATGCCAATCAATTCTTTAAAAAACCCTGCAAAATAAATAAGTACTAGCGTTCCATGTTGTTAAAGTGCATGCCAATTTTGTGCTAAACATGTTTATGGGAAACTAAAAAATGAAATAAATTACAAATACCCGTATAAATTAAAGTTTTAAGAGGGGATCAGGTAAAAAGTCATGAAAATATGATGGAAAATAAATGGGTGGAAATTACAGCATAATTTGTCCTTCCACAGCTCCAAATCTTGATTTAGGGAAAACACCAACTTTCACATGCTATGCTGCCCTCTGGTGGTCAAAGTATATAAATCAGCTCTTAACCAAAATGTCCCAT